GGAGGGGGAAATGAAATTGCGGGGGCGTGGGGAAACGAAATTGCGGGGGAGGGGGGAAACGAATTTCGACTTGAAGGGGTTGAAAGCACACCTCGTAACCCACTCAGTCAAGGGATAACCTTTGATGCACATTCAGCTGAATGTGCACCCCGGTTTTAAGCAGCAGATATGCACACACGCATTACATAAACAAAACAGATTTACACGGTGCGCTGCTAAGGAGAGTAGCTTCCATGAAAATCGCACCAGAAAGAAAGCCCATAAACACCCACTAACCCCCATCCCCCAAGGGGATGGGCCATTTTCAACCATCGCTCTGCCATGGAAAAATATATATCCAGCGTTCCAGCCTGGAATCACGCCTATATTAATAAGCAGATATTAAATGGCTGTCAGATCGCACTCGCTCCCCACTTGCGACATTTGTCTGAAGCGCATCTTCTGATCCGGAACGAAGGTGGAGCCGCACAGCTGGCCCTGGCTGTCGATGTGCGGCACGGCCTGGAGCATGCGGTCAGGGTGCTCGAAGCTGTTCAGTCCTGCTGCCGTGGAGAAGTAGCATCCTGCACGGGGAAAGGGTCGACAAGATATAGGTTAGAAGCTGAGCGGCAAGGATTGAAAGGCGATATGAATCTGCAATGAGAAAAGATCCCCCATGAAAAGCGAAGGGATGGCAAAATTAGGACTTCGTACCCTTGGGGAAGGGAGCGAACGAACGTCCACAGTTCTTCCGGAGCGTGTCGCACTTATCCGAGATAGCCAGAACCGAGTCCTTGCACAGACCCCAGTATAACGGTCGCTTCCCATACGCGTCCTGAGCGACAAACACCTTCTTCTGCTTCTGGTCGTACAGCACGAACGAAAACGGACCCCGGAACTCCGAAAGAGCGTGTTCAACAGTGCACGGAGCTCTGTCACGCAGCGTCTTGTACACCTCGATCACGAACGCGGCCTCGCAGATCCGGTACCGGGTGAGACCGTACGCTACCCGCATTTGCGGGAGGTTCTCGAGGTTGCCGACGAAGGTGCAGAAGATGTCGTCGCACGAGGCGAATTGTCTGAAAGGCAGAACATTATCGATATAGAAACGAATCAATTCAAGCTGGCCAACTCGCGCTGGTAACAACATTTTGCGAAGATAACGAACGCTGCCATTATCGTGCGGCCTGTCAAACTGTGATGCTGAAGAGATGCAACGACCTCAAGGGTTGTAGAAAAAGCGGCAGTGGTTATTACCTGCCACCATTCCCTGTAAAGGCAATCTCGAGGTTGTCATCGAAGTGCAGCACTGTAGCCGAGGAATTGCTCTTCATGAAATCTCCGACAGCGGCACTTCCGGAGTGAACGTTAGCCGGGTCCGCTGCGTCGGCGAGAGCGCACTGAAGCTCGGGTTGGCTGGGAGCCACACCCTTGTGGAAAATGGCAAACATGGTGTTAGGATTAAGAATACGACGAATCAGCCTTCACGTGAAAAAGGAGGCTCAGATCAAGCCTGACTTTGCGTCAGTGCCTGGGAAAGTCGTGGCGTCGTTTGCTCGGCACGAACAGAGAATGCCGTTCTGATGCGAGCAGAGCAGCGGGAAGCTGCAGAAACTGAAATCAATTTCAGCTTCACTGAATGTGAACCACCGTTTCCAGCTGGACACTGGAGAAGCAGAAGATGTTGAGAGAAGCAATGGGACCTCGCTTGTGTATTACTGGCACAAAAAATGGAATATAAATGACGAGACGACACCGCTCGTTACTGGGAGACTCGACCAGGGAGAGTCGAGAACACCGCGGCGCGAGTCATTCGGCCCAGACAAGTCAGCAGGAGCAATCTGTACCACAGACGAGGGTCGATCAACCAAGTCTCTTCCCATGTGCTTGAGCAACGTCGAGGGGAGGGATGGACAGCCCAGGACGAGGGTGGAGGGAAGAGGACGAGGGCGTGTTCTTTTCAACATCAAGGTCGGTATGAGGAGTTTCAACGGTTAGGATACAAAGGTGGCGGCAGAATGCTGACGTGACACAATGATATCTGTTGATCTAGTGACACTGAAGGAGCAGATGTGCGGGCTTCGTGTCACGGGAGGTCGAGCGGGGAGGTAATGATGTCTGGGAAGCGAGGGTTGTGGGAAGACGTTGTAGACTCGTAGGAGGGGGGCGTGTTACAGGAGGATTGATTGCCATGCATTTGCCATCCTGTCCCGCTTGCAGCCAATAAAAGGACGCGCGCTTCGTCTGGCACGTTCTAATGCATCATCCCAAGAGTGGCTGGATGATGAGTCGGTGATGCGCTGTATGGGATCAAATGCACTGATTTTGGGGGTTTCGCGTTTCGGTGACGCGGGCTGAGTCGACTAGCTCTGTCAAAAATGAGTCACGCAAATGGGATTCTGGCGTGGCACGCCTAAGATATACAAGTGCTCAGCATCTGCCAGCGAGGGGCTGACCCGGCAGCCAGCGCTTTTGGGCCTTCGCACGCGTGGACAAGCGATGCTGTTGCGGTCTGTTTGGACAACCTCCACATGTGGATCCCCCTGACCTGGACGTGGGCAATTCCTTGTCACGTTTAGCGTGGCAGTGACCAAGCTCTGATTTTAGACAAACAGTAATTCAATTAGAAAAAATAGTGTATCTTACCTGTGTGTAAACGAATATGTCTAAAACAGGGCCTCAGATATCAGGAAAAATAACCCTGAAATTCCTGATTTTGGCAGTCCTTTTTTTACCTACCCTGAAAAGTCAGTGTTGAGATTTTTGAGGGACTGAAATTCCATACTTTTTTTGTTAGGCCACACTGAAATTTCAGACTTTTTTCCCCTAGGACCAGGCCAAATTTTTATCAGTGTAAATCACCCTGATACCCTGATTATCAGGGTGGTTTTTGGTAGTCACACTGATGCCTCAGGGTAATTTTTTTTGGAGCTGTGATTTTCCTGATCAGCCAGGGTATACGTTTAAGGCACACTGATGCACCAGGGTAACCGTTCTTCTTAGCGAGTTTTACCCTGAAGCTAGTACCGTACCACACCCCCCCCCCCGGACCTCCCCCCACTTTCCCGTAACTCGGGATTCCCGTTGGCCAACTGTCAAAACCTGAATTTGCGTACATGTATTGGCACGAAGTGGGCCACTATTGGCCAGAAATACAGTTTCGCTCTACACAACGCCAAGGACTCAACTCGGAGTAAACTCATTGTAACAATAACTAAGCAGGGTTTTTACAAGTCTTACACTGATGCCTCAGGGTAAAATTTTCAGACCTAGCCTGAACCCTGATGCAAAAGAAATTTCCTACCGGGCCACACTGATAATCAGGTTTTTGCTTAGGTGCAGCACTGATCATAAGGGTTGCTCAAAACCAAAAATTAGCCCTGCCTAGGACACTGATGCCACAACGCTGTAACGAAACCAACACTGAAGCGATTCTTACCTGTGCCATGTGGATTTGACCGCAATTACAGGGAATCTCAGATTCCCGAGGTGTAATCACCCCGTGGCGAGGCCAACCTGTGAAATTCTGCCTCTGCTTCACGTTCAGAGGTATTTTGTTGGCGCGGCGCCTCACACCATTGGGCCGTTTCGCTGCAGGAGTCAGTCTTGGCCAATCCGAACGTGGCCACCATGTGGTGCTGGAGGGCTGCCAAGGGTCCTGCCCCGTTGCCATCACATGCGACGCGTTAGTGACAGCCTTTTTACTTGTGCTACACTGATGCATCAGGCTTTTTACAGACGCAACACTGACATTTCAAGCTTTTTTTTTTTGGAACACTGTCAATCAGAGTTTACACACAGGGGGACCCTGATGGGTTGACGACCCTAAAAGTGAATCTGAGGGCCTGGTCTAAAAATACTCTAGAGCCTCAACTACACTGCAAGGTTCATAATGCACTTCAGATGGGCAATCATATTTGATTTCTCACAGGAAGAAGACCATTGGGAGTCGACCACGCAATACCAAGAATTAAAGAAAAAAACATACATAATCAGGAACTTTAACATATACAACTGACAAGGGGCATTGATTGTGCAAGAACTGACTGGATACGCTTTCAATGTCTGAATGTGAGTCTTGCTGAACCGGCTGTCAGCCAGTGTTGAGCAATGGGAATTCATATTCCACTCCAGATTCGCCCTATAGCGCGCGTATCCACAGGAATTTCCGGGTTGCAATGTTTCGGGACATAGGCAGACGTTAGGCGTTGCGAGAAGAATGCTGCGGAATGGGAAAACCCCGAGTGAGATAACAGAAGAACATCAGTTGATGCTAAAAGCAGCCAGTCTACGACAATATCAATGTAGGTTGATGCTCCCTTCGCCTTGGTAGCTTGTGTTGACGAGGATGCCGAGGAGGAATTGGTATCAGAAGTGGGTGTCAGAATGTTGGCATGTAGAGGGACGATATCTGAAATCACCACCTGCCATTAACGGGGATTATCATAAGGAGGAATTCGGAAATGGGTACTTTGTGGTGTTTAGAAGCGTCCCAGGTTGTGGAATTTTGCATGAGCCCACAACTTGTCACACAACCAAGCAGGATGATGACAATGGGCAGGCACCAGTCTGCATGGGACAGAGATGTTTTTTAGCTTAGGGGTGCACTGCTGACGTAAAAAACGTTAGGGTCAACTCTTAAGTCGCTCTGAGAATCTGACATTGTGAGGGTGATTGATCTGGCATCCTGAAAGAGCAAGATTTGACTCTTGAGTTGACTGAAAGGGAGATAGAAAAGCACACACCTTGTCAGGGTACTTGAGTCAAAGGGCTGTCTTGAGCTCATGCGAGTTGAACCAGAGGTGACCCAAAAGTCACCTGAAACCTTCGGCTTGACTCGACAGAGGGAGAGGAGCACACACCTTGTCAGGGTACTTGAGTCGAAGGGCTGTCTTGAGCTCATGCGAGTTGAAGCAGAGGTCAGACTCAAAAGTCACATGAAACCTTGTCTCACCTGGACCTGACTCGAAAGAGATAGAAAAGCACACACCTTGTCAGGGTACTTGAGTCGAAGGGCTGTCTTAAGCACGTGCGAGTTGCTGATGACAAGCCACCGAACCATAGTGGGAGCCGGCATCCACCACGCCTCCAGCTTCTGCAGGAACACGATGCAGGGGGGGGGGCATGAGCACGATGCAGGGGGCAATGGGGGCCACAAGGAAGGTGCATTTAGAGTCGACTCAAGCGCGCACCCACAAGGCCTCCAGCGAACAATGGTGGGTGCAGGCATCTACCACGCCTCGAGCTTCTATAGGGTGGAATATAGGGGTTCGGAAAAACAAGAAAAATCAGAAAAAGGTCAATTGTAAGGGAACGGTAGAATGAGGCAAGGGAAAGAAGAATAGAGTGGAAACTCAGCAAGTTGCTACTAGAAAGCGGCAGGTCACTTTGAACACACACACTAACATGTAGTTTTAAGAGCCTTTTTGACACCCACCTCCACGTTTGTTTTGAGATGTCCCAATCATTCAGACTTGTAACTTCAACCATCTTGGCATATGCATGCATGCAAACATGACTATCCAACAATCAGACACCAAACTCTAGTCGCGGCGCACACATCGGCACATGTAAAGTCGCCCTCATTGTCGCCCTTATCCCGCGCCATGAGCTTTTGAGATGTCTTAAAGCCCACGCACCTTGGCACATGCCATGTGATCCTCAGCCCACGCCATAAGTGTGCCTCTCTCTGTCCCATTCGTGACCTTGGGATATCGAGATTGAGTTTTGAGACGTCTCAAAGTTCACCCTTCTAGTCACATGCAGTGTATTCTTCACCCCACGCCATAGGCTTGCTAAACAGGGTAACCACAAAAAGTCTAACCCTTCCCCTGACCCACCTGGGCACATGCAACGTAGTCTTCAGCCCACGTCATGAGCTTTTCCTTATCCGTCCCACTCATGACCTTGGGATCTCCAAACCCCTTACACACGTAACCATGCCTATTCAAACAGGGTAACCACACAGGGGTTTGATCCCTCCACACGCCCATCCACCCACCCACCCACCCACCTGGGCATTTGCAATGTAGTCTTCAGCCCAAGCCATGAGCTTTTCCTTATCCGTCTCACTCATAGCCTTGGGATCTCTGAGCCACGTAGTACACATGCGACAAGCCTTTGCACACATGCATTTATGCCAATTTAAGCAGCGAAAACCCACCCAACAGAACCCTAGTCCCCCAACCCCCCCACCTGGGCAATTGCAGTGTAGTCTTCAGCCCACGCCATAAGCTTTACCTTATCCGTCGCGTTCATAGCCTAGGAATCCCCAAACCTCTTCTCACAGACGTAACCATGCCTATTCAAACAGGGCAACCAAACAGGGCTCTGACCCCTCCACACGCCCACCCACCCACCTGGGCACATGCAATGTAGTTTTCAGCCCACGCCACGAGCTTTACCTTATCCGTCTCACTCATAGCCTTGGGATCCCCAAACCCTTCACACACACGCAACACAAGGAGCAACCATACCTATTCAATCAGCGAAACCTCACCCACCAAACCCTTAACCCCCCTCCCCACCCACCCACCTGGGCACATGCAATATAGTCTTCAGCCCACGCCATAAGCTTTTCCTTATCCGTCTCACTCATAGCCTTGGGATCTCCAAACCCCTGCTGCCCCTGCCACACAAACTTGTCCGGTGCTCTCATGTGTATCCCCACCACCTTCACCCTATGGCCCGCCATCCCATGTGAGAAGCCATGTGCGGCGTGGGAGGATAGATGGGAGGTGCGTGGATGGCCGGTGGTGAGATGTTGGAGGGGGGCGGAGGGAGAGGAGGAGGAGGAGGAGTTGAGAGGCGCGAGGAGTTGATGATACATGGCTTGCAGTTTTGATATGACTTCTGGTTGCGGCCTGGTGGGGGGGATGGAGAGGAAGGGGAGTGGGAAAGTGGGGAGGGCATGAGGGTTTTTCATTGACCGAACTTGTCCGGAGCTCTCATGTGTATCCCCACCACCTTCACCCATGTGCAGACCCATGTGAGAATCCATGAGAGCCATGGGAGGATAGATGGGAGGCGCGTGAATGGCTGGTGGTGAGATGTTGGAGGGGGGCGGAGGGAGAGGAGGAGGAGGAGGAGTTGAGAGGCGCGAGAAGTTGATGGTACATGGCCTGCAGTTTTGATATTACTTCTGGTTGCGGCCTGGTGGGGCAAAGGGGGAGGAAGGGGTGGGTTGGGAGGGGTGGGGAGGGCATGAGTGAGTTAAGCCTAGTAGGTGAAGATATGGAACGTTGGTTGATGGAACCAATCGCAAAGAAGAGCAGTTGATGGCACATGGCATGGACTTTTCAGATGAATTCTGACCTGACCTGGTGGGGGGAAGGGGGAGGAGAGCGAGGAGGGATAGGGGTGGGAAGGGGCCGAGTTGGGGGGCATGCAAGTGTTCGGTTGACTGGACTGTAACTGAATACAACGAAAGCAGGGGATAGTAGATGGCTTGAAATTTTGACATGACGACTGGCTGTGACCTGGTGGGAGGGATGGTGGGGAAGGAAGGGGTGGGGAAGGAAGGGGTGGGGAAGGAAGGGGTGGGGAAGGAAGGGGTGGGGAAGGAAGGGGTGGGGAAGGAAGGGGTGGGGAGGGCCTGAGTGCTTTTGGCCAACTGACTAAAAACAAACGAAAGCAGAGGTGGTACATGGCTTGAAGATTTGATATGACGCGTGGCTGTGGTTTGGTGGAGTGGATGCAAGGAGGGCGAGGGAGGGATAGGGGTGGAGAGGGGTGGGAAGAGGCAGAGTTGGGGCATGCATGTGTCGGGCCAATTGGACTGAACACAATGAAATCACGGGGTGGTGGTATGTGGCTTGTACATTTGATATGACGTATGGCTGTGTTCTAGTGGGAGAAGCATGGGGATATACTACAGCTATGCGAGTGGAGGGGTGGCAACGCGAGCAGAGGGGAGAGTGATGATGAGAGCGTAGGTAAGCAGATATGAAGGTAAGGATGCAGCAAAAGGCATAGGGAGGACGCACGTGTGAGCTGATATGAAGCTACGATTGAAATGCGTGTGAGTAGAAGGGAGAGAGACCATGGGAGCGTAGGTAAGCTTGATAGGAGCCAAGGATGCAAGACTAAGGCGTGGGTGGGAAGGCGCATGTGAGAAAGAGCGCATGGGAGGGAGCTCCTATAACAACAGTGTGAAGTGAATATAGGATAGGATCGTACTTGAGAAGGAAGCGCAGTATGCAGCCAAAGGCGTAGGGAGGACGTATGCCCAAAGCGTGCAGGCTGGCAGTCCAATTCTTCCCCACTGCCTGTGGGCAACGAGGTGAGGTGGGTTAGAGAGCACCGGAGCACATAAGCATACAGGAGGTGAGGAGGTGAGGAGATGAGGAGGTGAGGAGGTGAGGAGATGAGGAGGTGAGGAGGTGAGGAGAGGAGGAGGTGAGGAGGTGAGGTGGGTTGGTTGGAGAGCACATTAAAAATATGAGGGAACCGGCATGTGATGCATTTAAGGGACTTTCGAGGCGCCTCAAAAGTCTGGCCGTCCATCTCTTCCCCACCGCCTGTGCGACCCACCGCCTCCCCTCACCTGGGCGACGCACCACTCCCCCTCACCTGGGCGACGCACCACTCCCCCTCACCTGGGCGACGCACCACTCCCCCTCACCTGGGCGACGCACCACTCCCCCTCACCTGGGCGACCCACCAATCCCCCACACCTGTGCGACCCACCGCCTCCCCTCACCTGGGCGAGCAGGTACGTGAGGAGGCCTCTGTTCCACGGCAGACAGATGTTCATTGCCTTATTTTTTTAGTCCTTTCAAGAAACACCTCACTTGCCCAGCATCACTCCCCCTCAACTGTACGACACACCACTCCCCCTCAACTGTACAACACACCACTTCCCCTCAACTGTACGACACACCACTCCCCCTCAACTGTACGACACACCACTCCCCCTCAACTGTACGACACACCACTCCCCCTCAACTGTACGACACACCACTCCCCCTCAACTGTACGACACACCACTCCCCCTCACTCACCTGGGCGGGCGACACACCACTCCCCCTCACCTGTGCGAGCAGGTACGTCAGCAGACCCCTGTTCCACGACACTCGAATATTCATCGCACCATCCAGCACCGCAAAGAACTCCTCTGGTTCCACAAACCGGTTCCTCAGATTCACTATCACCACCTCCCCCTCCTGCACCAACTCTCCCTTCCCTCCTCCTCCTCCTCCCCCCCCTCCTCCCCTTCCTCCTTCTCCACCTTCTCCTCCCCCTCCCTTCTCTCCCACTCTAGCCAATACTTCATCAACCGTCAGCTTCCGAGCCGGCTCATAAGGCACGTCCGGCCCGAACGACCAATCCACGAGGTTCGGCGCGAACGCGAGCGGGAGGTACGGGTGCCGGACGATGAAGGCTCGGCGCGTGAGGAGCGCGCAGGCAAAAGCCGTGGCTAGCCCAGTGATATAATCCCCCAAGCCTCCAGGCTCGTCTAACCATTCGAAGGTTAGGAAACGAATGGATGGGTCTAGACGGGGCTGGGGGTATGACGCTGGGGGAGGAGGGGATGGAGGAGGGAGGGACGGGGGTGCTGGTGATAGTGGTGGTGGTGATGGCGGTGGCGGTGGTGGTGGTGGTAGTGCTGTTGCTGCAGCACCACCGGTAGCAGCAGCGGCGGCAGCGTTGGCGGCGGCGGCAGCGGTTTGGGCGAGGGTGGGGGCGTGAGAGCGGGCGGTTTCGCGGATGCGCGCGTGCAGGGCGGCGTAGTCTGTCGCCCAGGTGCCACAGAGGGCGTCTGAGAAGGTGACATCTAGGAAGGGCGCGAGGGGGGAAGCGGAGGTCCCCAGGGGGGGCGGAAGCTGGTGGTTGGGGGAAGGGGCGGGGGAAAAGGGAGGGGTTGGGGGGAAGGGAGGGTGAGAGAAGGTCACGGGGCGGCGTAGTCAATCGCCCAGGTGCCACAGAGAGCGTCTGAGAAGGTGACGTCGAGAAAGGGCGCGAGGGGGGAGGCGGAGGTATACAGGGGGCGCGGAAGCTGGGAGAATGGGGAAGGGGGAATGGGGCGGGGAGGGGGAAAAGGGGGGGAAAAGGGGGGGAAAAGGGTGCAGAGCGGCGTAGTCAGTCGCCCACGTGCCACAGAGAGCATCTGAGAAGGTGACGTCGAGAAAGGGCGCGAGGGGTGAGGCGGAGGTATGCAGGGGGGGCGGAAGCGGAAGGGAGAAGGTGGAGAGGGACGGGGTCCGGGGAGGGGGAAACGGAGGGGTTAATAAGGGTGCAGGGCGGCATAGCTGGTGGGGCACAGAGGGCGTCTGAGAAGGAGACGTTGAGGAAGGGCGCGATGGGGGAGGTGGACGATGGGGGCTGGTGGCAGCGGGAAGACGGAAGGGGAGGGGAAGGCGGAAAGGGAGGGGGAAGGTGGAATGGGGGGAAGGGGGAAGGGGAGAAGGAGGAAGGTGGGAAGGGGACAAGGGGAGAAGGGGAAGAGTGGAGAAGAGGAGGAGGAGGTGACAAGGGAAGAAGGTGGGACGGGCAGAATCAGGGGAAGAGGGGATGGAGTAGAAAGGAGCGGTTGGTGGTGGTTTAACAGATGAGTGGGTGAGAGGGAGCAAGGATGGGTGAGAGGGGACATGAATGGGTGAGAGGGGACATGGATGGGTGAGAGTGGACATGAATGGGTGAGAGGGGACATGAATGGGTGAGACAAAGGACAAGTGAGAGAGGACGACTGAGTGATCTGAAGAATGAGGAAGGTGATTTACCTCTTTCTAAAACGACTCGTACCATGAAGTGAAGCACAGTTCTCTGATCCGCAGAACAAGACTTCCACGGAGCATTTGAGTCTCACTTTTTGGGTCGACTCAAAAGGTGACTTCTGAGTCGACTTGAAAGTCGCCTCGGAGCATTTGAGTCTTACTTTTTAAAGTGCCTCAACAGTTTGGACTTTTGAGGAGCCTCAAGAGAAGTTCAATGATCCGCAGAACAAGACTTCCAGGGATTAAATCCAACCAGGAGAATCTCAAGTCAACCCAAAGCATCTTGAAGCACGGATCTCCGAAGCACTTGGTTGATTTCGCGTCAGCCCCAGGGAGTGAAGTCAGCCTGGAGCATTTTAAGCCAGTTCCTAGCAGTTAAGTCAACTCAGAGCAATTGGCTAAGTGTGTTTCGTGTTGTTACGCGTCGCAATCGGAACAGGACTCAACGACCCCGATTCTCAGAGTCTGAGCCGTTTCATCAGACTCTGTCTGAGCCGTTTCATCAGACTCTGTCTGAGCCGTTTCATCATACTCCGTCTGAGACGTTTCATCGTACTCTGTCTGAGCCGTTTCATCATACTCCGTCTGAGACGTCTCATCATACTCCGTCTGAGACGTTTCATCATACTCTGTCTGAGCCGTTTCATCGTTCTCTGTCTGAGCCGTTTCATCGTACTCTGTCTGAGACGTTTCATCATACTCTGTCTGAGCCGTTTCATCATACTCTGTCTGAGCCGTTTCATCGTACTCTGTCTGAGACGTTTCATCGTACTCTGGCTGAGACGTTTCATACCTGGCCGAGGCTCTTCATGGTCGTGACTGGCGAAGCCCGCACTTCAAAGTTTAGAATTGTTTAGATAAAAAGCCGAAGCTATGTATGGAACAGGACTCGCTCAAAGCGAGCTCGAGCATACGAGCTGCAGATGCGATGATTTCTAACCTTGGATACCTCTGAACCGCCCCACCAGAAACTTATTTTGAAGGGTTTGGGACCGGAAAGGCTTTCAAAGAACGCGAACGATGCAAATGCGTTCGAGGGTTGGACCAAAGAAGGCGAGCAAGAGAGCGAGGCAAATGCAAAGTGACTTTCATGGACTTGCAATGGACCTGAACTTGGTTCGCAGCTGAAATAAAAGCCACCTGTGTGAGGAATCAGCGGACGCACAAAGGCTAGGGCGAGCACGAGGCTGTAAGGAACCGCATGCTGTCTCCACCTCCTCTGTCGCCTCGTCTTTCGAGACGTCTCAGAAGCCACAGGCTCTCTCCATTGCCTCTTTCTAAGAGTCGTTTGAGACGTCTCAACGGTCATATTATGATGCTGTCTCCGTGCACCCGCACTACGCTGCAGCGTCACACCCAACGTACTACCACGTTGCTGCTCCGCAACCGAACCCTGCTTTGCACCCAGCATTCGCTGTTTAGCGCACGTCCACTCTTTTCCCCCCACCGTCTCAACCCGTCTCAAAGCCGACAGCGGCGGCTGCATCGTCGTCGCTAAGCGGCGGTGTAGTAAGGACAATGCAGTCGCGCTTACGAGCGATGACTAATATCGAGGCGGCTTAAAAGGCGGATGCATCGTCGTCGCCAATGAATGCATCTATCGTCCCGCATAGATTCACAGCTCTAGAGTTAATGATCGTGATAAGCTCGAAAGGTTACACGATGATCCTACATGATGAAAGGATCAAAACATTCGAGCTTCCGATAAAATTTTCTGTCAATGGTCGTCGGATTGACGTCAAATGTCCATTGTCTGACAATGGTCAGTCAGACAGTCAAGGACCGACCAGGAGGTGTGTGTCATGTCATGTCAGGTCATCGCCAGTCCTTGACTGAACGACAACCATTGACAACATTGGACAACATCCACACCTCCAAGGTGGATAGTTTCTTGTTTCTGTAACTGATTGAGAATCCGTTGGCCGGTAAGTCATGGGAACTGTGCATTGCCTCCATCATGCACGCGTGATCGTATGGGAGGAATTTCATTCTACAGTTGCCCAAATGGACGGAGCCGTGGGAGGACGGGACGTGGGAAAGAGCGTGGGAAGGGAAGCACTGTAGCTTGGTGCAAGCGAGGAAGACGAGTGAGGAAAGAAAGGACGGCAAGTTTCCAGCCAGATTACTCGAGCTCCCTGAACGACTTGACCTGACCTGAGCAAGCAAGAGCTCAGGATGGCGAGTTATGAATCTCGAACAGCGTGCTGAAGGAGAATGGCCTGCAGGCCTGCGTGTGCGTGCTGGGGAATGCAGAGCTGCGGTGACTCGGTTTTCCTGTGGTTTTGTCACGGTGTTTTAAGCGGTCAAAGCGTTACAAAGCGGCGCAGTGGCTGGACTTTCAGCCCCGAAACCCATAATTTTGTATGGAGGCAAATCTTCCCACACCACCGATCACCGCACCTCCTAACCGCTCGGTGGACTTTCCGGAATAACAAGCGTCGGTATGAGAAGCTGAGAAATACGACTTGTACATGTCATTCGTTGTGACTACTAAGTCTGATATCTTATCACATTTCCGCACATGCGGCTAGGGTGTGGATGGGTAATGTCAATTTTCAGGCCCCTTGGGCTTGAAGGTAGCTATTTAAAGCCCAAGACCTGAATTACTCAACGGAAGTCAACGCTAAAAACTAAGCTCGGGAGGTAGGCACGGAGAGGTTCGGTTGGGTTGCGAGAGATTTTCACTCGCGAAACCAATTTGCGACAAAAGTTTCTCGCTTCCCATGATGGTTGGTGCCCTTCCCACAACCAGAAAAGCGCGAGCTTATCAAACTGTGCACAGTTCGAGATAGCACGCAGAGTATTAGGCATAGACCATACCTGTAGACAGGGCAGGGCGTCGGCGTTCACTCAAAAGGGAGTAGATGCGCCATACGATTTGGGTGGCGCGGATTTGCAATGATGACGCGCAAAGCTAGTTTGCGTTGGGTGAAGATTATTGTGTCGAAATGCAGGTTATTGTGCAACTACTCCGTAGCGTAAACTCGTGGCGAAGATCGAATCGCAACCGTTCGCCCAAACGTGACCCTCCCCTCGCCCTCGCTTTCCTTTCCCACGCTTCCGCTCTCTTTCGCCCGCGTCGTCGCCATCGCTTCCGCAGCTCGTCGCGTGCCCGTCGCCTTCGCTCCGCCCGTCGCCTTCACTTCTCCCCCGTCGCCTTCACTCCCCCCCCTCTTCCGTTGCCTTCATTTCCCCCTCCCGTCGCCTTCACTTCCCCCTCCCGTCGCCTTCACTTCCCCTCCCGTCGCCTTCATTTCCCCCTCCCGTCGCCTTCATTTCCCCCTCCCGTCGCCCTCACTTCCCCCTCCCGTCGCCTTCACTTCTCCCCCCCGATGCCTTCGATTCCCCCTCCCGTCGCCTTCCACGCCTGCCGCACTCGCTTTCCCCCCGTCACACTCGCTTCCCCACCCGTCACCTTCACTTCCCCTCCCATTGCCTTTCACTCTCTCCTGCTCAATCTCTTTCCCCTTGGTCACTCTCTTCCCCCCTGCTCACTCTCTTTCCCCCTGCTCACTCTCTTCCCCCCTGCTCACTCTCTTCCCCCCTGCTCACTCGCTTCCCCCCTCCTCAATCTCTTTCCCCCTGCTCACTCGCTTCCCCCCTCCTCATTCTCTTTCCCTCTGCTCACTCCCCTTGTTCTAACCCCACTTTCCCCATTTCTCACCCATTTTCCCCCTTCACGCTCTCTTACCCCCTCTGCTCGCCCCTGTTTTCCCGACTCACGCCTATACTCACTCTCTCCCCCCCTGCTCACTCTCTTCCCCCCCTGCTCACTCTCTTTCCCCTTGCTCACTCTCTTTCCCCCCTTCTCACTCTCTTTCCCCCTTCACGCTCTCTTTCCCTCCCTTCCGCCCGTTGCCCCCCTTCGTCTCGTGCTCGTCCCCTCGCAATCCCCGTCTCTCTCTCCCCCCGTCGCCCTCGTTTTCCCCGTCGCCCTCCCTTCCACTCCTCGTTGCCCTCGCCATCCCTCCCTTCTCCCTTCCCGTCTCGCACACTTGTCACGCCCCCTTTCCGACCCGCACATACACCCTTCCCTTCTTCCCTGTTTCCTCGTATCCCCTGCGCTGCTTCCCCCCATCCTCCGACTTGCTCCCCCCATCCCCTTCCCTGCTTCCCCCCAACCCCTTCCCTGCTCCCCCCCATCCCCTTCCCTGCTTTCCCCCTTCCCCTTCCCTGCTTCCCCCCGTCCCCTTCCCTCCTTCCCCCGTCCCCCTCCCAGCATCCCCCCATCCGCTTCCCTGCTCACCCCCATCCCCTTCCCTGCTCCCCCCCATCCCCTTCCCTGCTTCCCCCTATCTCCTTCCCTGCTTCCCCCTATCGCCTTCCCTGCTCACCCCTGCTCCCTCTGTTTCACCCTTGCTCCCTCCCCTTCTTCTCTGCTCACTCTCTTCCCCCTTGCTCACTCTCTTTACTTCTGCTCACTCTGTTCCCCCCTGCTTCCTCTCTTCCCCTCTGTTCAATCTGTCCCCCGCTGCTTCTTCTCTTCCCCTCTGCTCATTCCGTTTACTGTCTTTCCCCCTTCACTCACCCCCATACCCCCCAATGCAGTTACAGGTGCTCAGCACCAGATGTGGCTTTACCACGGCCTGGTTTATTGCTTGCAGTGTAGCAGACAAAACCGGAAAACAACATTACACATACACCCCCTAGCTTTGTTCCCTTCTCGAGTCTGGTGATTCCCCTTACTTTACAGATACGGTAATATATTAATTGTTGAACTCCTTGGTATTGGTCATGTGTATGATTGCTCTGAGGCTCATAATCCTGTATTATAAAAAAAGAATCCAATATATGGCATGGCTATACGTGTGTTACTATCAGACAGCTAGCACATGCACAACCAGATGCAGAGCAGACCTGTCCAAACACAAATCAAGAAGTCAGATGTGACGTGGCTGAAGTATAAGGGAAGCAAGCATGCAAAAGAATGACAACTGGCAAATGAGGAAAGGAGGAACGGAGGAAGGGAGGAAGTGAGGAATGCAGGAATGAAGGAAGGGATGAAGTGATGATGGGAGGAAGGGAGGTAGGGAGGACGCTTGGGGGAGAAGCAGAAGGGAGGGGAAGAAGAGAGGTTGGGGAGGAGGGTGGGGAGGAGGGTGGGGAGGAGGGTGGGGAGGAGGCTGGGGAGGAGGGTGAGGAGGAGGGTGGGGAGGAGGGTGGGGAGGAGGGTGGGGAGGAGGGTGGGGAGGAGGGTGGGGAGGAGGGTGGGGAGGAGGGTGAGGAGGAGGGTGGGGAGGAGGCTGGAGAGGAGGGTGGGGAGGAGGGTGGGGAGGAGGGTGGGGAGGAGGGTGGGGAGGAGGGTGGGTAGGAGGGTGGGGAGGAGGGTGGGTAGGAAAATTATATGCATGCATGAATTGCTTGATTTCCTAGGCTAGGTGCTTTCCTATATTTTATTATAGTTATAGCACCGAGCTAGGTTGCGTGCACTGAATTCTGGCTTTTCGGTTGCCACCGAATTGCCTTCTACCGAATTCGGGAAGGATCTGTTCGGGACGCTTCGCGACCCGCGGAACCTTCGCGTAACACCTGGTTACGGGGCCTTGTGTCGAGCCTATGTATAGCCTCGTGTTGTACCCAGGTGATCATTTTCAATTCACATTCTCTTTTCTGAGCTCGATCCTAGATCCTCACACTTGGTAATCAGAGCCCGTTTACACGCGAAGTTCTTTCGACCGCTACAAACCAGTCTTCAAAAAACCGCGGAGGCGACGCAGTTAAACATCGATTTCGGGTACGTAAAACCGGTTCCGTGTTTTTTCGCTCCCCCTCGATTCGGTTTTTCGGACGCGTTGATGTCAGGCATGGAAGGCCAAGGCGACAACTACGCGACCACGAGCGACATCGCGAGCCTCCGCACCGACATGGAGCAGACGCAGGCGACACTTCGTCGACTCGAGGCTTTTCTGACAAGCCAACCAGGGTTCGCCACCGCAGCAGCAGCGACCGCAGCGACTGCAGCACCGACAACTCCAGCAGCAGTGGCGACACCGACATTTCACGGACCGATGGCACCACTGTCGCCGAACCTCGAAGCAGTACGACCGAGGCTCCCTGAGGCGTTCGATCCAAGCGCGAAGGGATCCGACGTCCGGCGATTTGTGGCCACCCTCGAAATTTACTTCGAGGCCATTGGCTGTTTGACCCCGCAACACGACGCAGCAAGGATTCGGCTCGCAGCGACACTGTTACGTGGACCGGCTCTCGAATGGATTTACTACACCGACGTAGCCCGCGGGGAGAAAACGTGGCAGCAGTTTCGGGCAGATTTAATCGAGCGTTTCGAACCAATTAATACGACCTACATGGCGCGGCAGCAGATACACCGACACAAGCAATACAGTAGTGTAGCACAGTACACGCAGCAGATGGAGTTACTGTTCAACCGCATCACCGACCTGACCGAAGGCGAAAAAATCCAGGCGTACACCGAAGGGTTAAAAATGGAGATTCGGCGGCAGGTGATTGCGGCGAATTACAACAGCTACAGGGACATCGTGCGTGCTGCCGAGCGATACGACGCGCTGACTCGAGGTCAACCCGAAACACGACGCTTCATGCCGAACCGTACATTCGGCACGGAGCGATCAGCACCCTCCACGTTCGCCGAACCGATGGATATCGACAAATACGACGCGAAGCAGCAACCGACAAAATGCGAATTTTGCGGCACAGCAGGGCATCAGTTTTTGTCGTGCTACAAAATGAAGAAAGCATGTGCGGCACTCCGGGACGGAAACAGTGGAGCACCCCCGAAGTCAAAAAACGGGAATCGCCAGTAGCCGCGGATCGACCTGGCGATCGCGTAAAGATCCGAAAAGCAGGAAAAGGCGACGACGTGGCGACTTCGGAGCGGGCGAAAAAAGGAGAAAATGATGGCGCGAATCAAAAACGTCACGACCGGCCGGCATCAGGGGAAATCGCCGAGGCGAATGGAGGCTCCGCGAAAAAAGACTCTGCACCGACCGGGAAACTCCAGCCGAACACCCACGAAAGTAAGAATTCGTTAAAAGTATCCTATAAAGATACTCTAACGAAGAATATTGCTTCTCGTGGTTTTCAAGCCTTTGAAAAAATCAGGGGAGGTTTAGAGGCTAAGAAAAAGCCTTTAGAAATCATTCAGGTACCTGAGAAGTTGGGCAAAGTACTACGGAGCGTAGAAAAAGGTCGTGCGTTCCGTGGAGTTAATATTCTCTCCCCGCAGCACAGTGTTAAGGCTCCCCGTTGCCCACAGGTGAAGCCTACACAGCTGCCAAGGCTTAGAGGAGGCATCCAGGCTCAGGAGAAAATATACAAGCCTCGGAAAAATCCTCCCACCCCCCAGGTGAAGTTGGAAAGTGCTGAGTCGGGTATAGGAAAAAGGGAAGGTATTAAGTTTGATGTACCCTATGATCCTATTAATGAGACCCTCTTTGGCTACTCAGCGCAGCAGAAACCACTACTCCTCGAGGTGTTATGCAATGGACGACGCCTCCAGGCACTGGTGGACAGCGGTGGATCTCACTCGGTGTGTGACCGCGGAGCATTGGAGAAAATTGGAGAGAAGGCAGAGGAGACCCAGTTTTCAGCAACCATGGTGGACGGTACGAAACTTCCTATCCACAGCGAAGCATCACTGCAGCTGCATATAGGTGCGTTGAGGTGGAAGCCGAAGCTACCAGTCACCAACATCAAAGGGTTAGATTTTAACTTGGGGCGAGATTTTCTGAAGCGGTTCAACCCCGAGATCGATTGGATCAACAGCAAGGTGTGCATCTACAACAACGGGAAGCGGATAGCACTACGAAGCTGGACGGATACAGGGGACGTACCTGAGATGACACTGGCACGGTTCGAACAGACAGTGAACGAGAGTAACACGGGTTACCTAGCACTGGTCATGGCAGCAGCAGAGGAGGAGAAGCCGAGTTCCGAGCTCCCTGCAGCAGTGAAGGAGGTCTTGGAGCAGTACAAAGATATAATGCCCGACGACCTACCTGCAGGCGTACCTCCAGCACGCACCCACGAGCATGAGATCGTGGAGGAACCAGGTGCGAAACCCGTCTCACGTGCACCATACCGACTGAGTCCGACCGAACTAACAGACATGAAGAAACAGATAGAGTATCTACTGGACAGACAACTGATCCGCCCATCCACCTCTCCCTACTGTGCACCAGTTCTCTTCACTCCAAAACCAGACCGCAGCTTACGGATGTGCATCGACTACCGCGCACTGAACAAACAGACAGTTAAAAACAAATACCCCATACCGCGCATCGACGACTTACTGGACCAACTGCGTGGTGCAACAGTCTTCTCGAAGCTGGACCTACGGTCGGGTTACTGGCAGATCAAGATGGCGGACAACTCGATCCACAAGACGGCGTTCCGTACTCGATACGGCTCCTACGAATACTTGGTGATGCCGTTCGGACTCTGCAACGCACCAGCAACGTTCCAGGCGGAAATGAACCATATTCTACGGCCCCTGCTGGACGAGTGCGTAGTGGTGTACCTGGACGATATCCTCATCTACTCCAAGAACATGAAGGAGCACGTGGAGCATCTGCGGAAGGTGTTCGAGATCCTGCGGAACAACAAGTTCTACGTGAAGCTGTCGAAGAGTGACTTCGCCCTGAAAGGTGCAGTTTCTCGGGCACATGGTGAGTGCCGAGGGCGTACACATGGACCCGCGGAAGATCGAAGCCGTCAAGAAGTGGAAAGTTCCGGAGAACGTGAAGGAGTTGCAGCAGTTCCTAGGATTCGCCAACTACTACAACAGGTTCGTGCCACAGTACGCTAAGATTGCAGCGCCACTGACCGACCTACTGAAAAAGGATACGCCCTTCAAATGGGATACTCCGCATCAGCAAGCCATGGAACAGCTACAGACAGCACTGACCACAGCCCCAGTACTCATCCTACCAGACCCCGAGAAGGACTACGTAGTTGAAGCAGACGCTAGTGACCAGGCAGTCGGAGCAGTACTGATGCAGGATCACGGGAACGGTTTACAGCCTATCGCCTACCTCAGTAAGAAACTGCACGGAGCAGAACTAAACTACCCCATCCACGACAAGGAAGCCCTAGCTATAGTCGTAGCCTTCAAGGCGTGGAGGTGTTACCTCGAGGGAGCCAAGACCACAGTCTATACTGACCACTGCAGCCTCAAATACCTGAAGTCGCAGCCTACGCTCTCACGACGACAGGTACGGTGGGTGGATTTCTTGGAGACCCACTTCCACTACGACATCATCTACAAGCCCGGGCTACACAACAAAGCAGACGCGTTGAGCCGCCCAGGTCATGTAGCAGGCATCCAACTCGACGGGATGAACCCTCTGCTCAAAGGTCTATTCCAACATGGGTACTCCGTGGACGGCGAGATAGCAACGACAGAGAAACAGAAACTGTTACAGTGGGAGAAAGACCTAGCGGTAAGGAAGGGTTCAGGAAAGATTTGGGTACCGAATTACGCCCCGCTACGGCAGATCCTATTGGAGGAGTTCCACGACGTACCATACGCGGGACATTTCGGGAGCAACAAGACGTTAGCGGGAATAGCGAAGTATTACTACTGGCCCCGGATGGCAGCAGATGTGCAGCAGTTCGTCACCTCCTGCGACACGTGCCAGCGGATGAAGAGCAGCAAGCAGAAGAAAGCAGGGTTACTTCAGCCTCTACCTGTACCGGAGCAGCCATGGCAGGTCGTTAGTCTCGACTTCATCACAGGACTTCCCTCGACCTCACGGGGACATGATTCCATCCTCGTAGTTATCGATAAGTTCTCCAAAATGGGGCACTTCCTACCGACCAACGCCACCGCCACAGCAGAAGCAACTGCTCGCCTCTTCTTCGACCGCATCATCACCATCCACGCCATCCCCGCTACACTCATCTCAGACAGAGACCCAAAATTCACCAGTAAGTTTTGGAAGGAGCTCATGGGATTATTGGGGACTAAACTTGCGATGTCCTCAGCATACCACCCACAGACTGACGGACAGACAGAGCGACTCAATCAAGTGGTTGAACAGTTACTGCGCACAGCTTGCAAGGACGACGTCAGCCACTGGGACACACAGTTACTGACCCTAGAGTTCGCTTACAACAACGCGTCACATGCGGCCACAGGGAAAACTCCTTTCTTCCTGTGTTACGGACGGGAACCACTCACACCACAGCAGCCTACCACACCGGCACACGTCCAAGCCGCACATGACTTCGTCACCACCATGCAGCAGCTATGGGAGAAGACTCAGCGACGACTCACCACGATGCAGACCTCCCAGAAGCAGTATACCGATCGTCAGCGACGTGATCACTCAGTAGCAGTCAGAGATCAGGTGCTTCTTGACACGCACAACTTGAACCTGTCTCACCTCCCATCCAAACTCCGGCCTCGCTTCTGTGGTCCTTTTCTCGTTGAGGCACAGGTGACACCAGTTACATTCCGCTTGCGCTTACCAGATATGTGGAAGCTTCACAATGCTTTCCATGTGCAGCTAATGAAACCCTACAAGGACCCCAACCAACAGTTCCAGGGACGGCAGCTACCGCCACCTCCACCTGTTCTTGTGCAGGACGAAACCGAGTACGAGATTGAGCGCGTCCTCTCTCATCGGCGCCGCGGCGGCAGGACCCTCGAGTTCCTGATACGCTGGAAGGGATACGACCCCACTGAGGACAGTTGGGTTGCAGAAGCTGATATGGGCAACGCACGCCGTGCTCTCAAGGACTATCTTGTCAAGCAGGGTGTATCTCACGCCACCCAGCTTTGAGGGGGGGACGTGTGAGAGTACGACGGCTTATGCCAGCTATGCTTGCTTGCCTTTACTTTATTATGCTATTTCTAGCATAGGAGAATTATATGCATGCATGAATTGCTTGATTTCCTAGGCTAGGTGCTTTCCTATATTTTATTATAGTTATAGCACCGAGCTAGGTTGCGTGCACCGAATTCTGGCTTTTCGGTTGCCACCGAATTGCCTTCTACCGAATTTCGTGTTGTACCCAGGTGATCATTTTCAATTCACATTCTCTTTTCTGAGCTCGATCCTAGATCCTCACAAAGGTGGGGAGGAGGGTGGGGAGGAGGCTGGGGAGGAGGCTGGGGAGGAGGGTGGGGAGGAGGCTGGAGAGGAGGGTGGGGAGGAGGGTGGGGAGGAGGGTGGGGAGGAGGGTGGGGAGGAGGGTGGGGAGGAGGGTGGGGAGGAGGGTGGGGAGGAAGGTGGGGAGGAGGGTGGGGAGGAGGCTGGGGAGGAGGCTGGGGAGGAGGCTGGGGAGGAGGGTGGGGAGGAGGCTGGAGAGGAGGGTGGGGAGGAGGCTGGGGAGGAGGCTGGGGTGGGGCGGAATGGGGTGGGGCAGAAAGGGGTGGGGCGGAATGGAGTGGGGCAGAAAGGGGTGGGGCGGAATGGGGTGGGGCGGGGCGGAATGGGGTGAGGCGGATTGGGGAGATGAGGGATGGGGAGATGAGGGATGAGGAGATGAGGGATGGGGAGGTGTGGGATGGGGAGGAGAGGGCTGGGGAGGAGAGGGATGGGGAGGTGAGGGCGTCAAACATTATATATGTTGTAGTTGTTTAGGCTACAGTGGGTTAGCCTTTAGGGGGTACACAATTCTAGGTTTAGGTACTTGTACTCACTTCTCTCTCAATTCAACCATTCATTCTCTAACATGGTATACAGAGCAGGTCCTTCGCTAGGACCGATTTCTTAGGGCCCACCACTGCTGACTGCCTACTAGCGCCCTCGTGCGCCTCACTGTCGGAGCGCCCTCGAGCGCCTCCCCCAGCGCCCCTCTTTTAACGGCCCCTTAGCGACCCGCGCGCCGCCCCTTAGAGGCCCCGTCGGCCCGTCGACCCCGAGCGCGCCCCACCTAAAGGCCCCGTCGGCCCCACCTAGAGGCCCCGTCGGCCAGCGCGCCCCACCTAGAGGCCCCGTCGGCCCCACCTAGAGGCCCCGTCGGCCCGTCGACCCTGCGCACGCCCCTCCTAGAGGCCCCGTCGGCCCCGCCTAGAGGCCCTGCTGGCCCTGTCGACCCCACGTGCGCCCCGCCTAGAGGCCCCGCTGGCCCCGTCGACCCCGCGCGCCGTCCCTTAGCGGCCCCGTCAGCCCCGTAGACCCCGCGCGCCCACCCCTTAGCGGCCCCGTCGACCCCACGCGCCGCCCCTTAGCGCCCCGCACGCGACAGCCACGGCCCCGCCAGAACCAGGCCGCCCGAACCGAGCCGCCCGAACCGAGCCGCCCAGCCCGAGCCGAGCCGCGCCGCCCGAACCGAGCCGCGCCGCCCTACCTGAACCGAACCGCGCCGCCCGTACTGAGCAGCCTTTCTGGACCGAGCCGCCCTACCTGAGTCGCGCTGCCTACTGCTTTTAGGGTGCACCTACTGCTACTGCTCCTTCTACTATACTGCTGCTCCTACTGCTACTATGGCTAGCCCTCCTGTACTAGCTTTCGATACTGAGGGCCGCCCAGTGAAGTTTGACACCTGGTTAGATGACCTGCACCTCTTCCTACAGCTCACTGCCAAGGAGGACATCTCACTGTACGATCATGCCCTAGGCCATGCCACTGCCCCTGCTGATACTGCTGACAGCACTGCCCGCTCACAGTGGCAGACTCGTGACGCCCACGCTCGCTTTGCTATTCGCAACTCCCTGCCGATAGATGAGCGCGAGCACTTTGGCCAGCACAAGACTGCACAGGCACTGTACACTGCTGTCGTTGCCCGCTACTCCTCACCTGCCTCTGCCCCGCTAGGCCGTCTCTCACTCCCCTACCTGTTCCCCGACCTCGCCTCCTTCCACACAGTCGCTGACCTCATCACGCACCTCCGTACTAGTGAGGCCCGCTTCCGTGCCGCTATGCCTGATGAGTTTCTTGCCACGAACCCCCCCCCGCTCTGGCTCACTCTCTACCACCTAGTCACCCGCCTCCCTGACTCTCTGCGTGCAGTCAGGGACCACTTCCTAGCTCGCTGCCCCACTGAGCTCACCATTGCCCTCCTCGAGAAGGAACTACTTGCAGCTGAGGCTAGCATAGTCGCTGTAGGTGCCTCTCGTGGCGACCCCCGCACCCCTTTCTTCGAGGGGTGTTCCCCTTCCCCCCTTCTTCCCTCTGTAGCCTCTGCTTCTGCTGTCGACCTCCTTGGTGCTGAGAAGGTCGGGACTGCGTCTGCTTCGAGCTGGCGCCGCAGCGGCAAGGGCAAAGGGGGCAAGGGAGGCGGAGGTGACGGCGGGGGAGGCGGTGGTGGGGGTGGTGGCGGCGGTGGGGGTGGTGGTGGGGCTGGAGGGGCTAGTGGCAGCGGTGGGGGTGGTGGCGGCAGCGGCGGGGGAGGTGGCAGGGGCGGGGGTGGTGGTGGGGGCGGCGGTGGACGCGGCAGCGGCAGGGGAGGGGGTGGTCGAGGAGTTGGCGGCGGCAGTGGTGGTCGTGGAGGCGCTGGTAGTGGCCAGAGCCAGCAGCACACTCCGTCGCCCCAGGAGCTCCGTGAGTGGTACTCTCAGCACGGGGGGGGGGGGGGGTGGCCTTAGCTGCACGTACGTTATCCGCACTGGTGACCGCACTGGTCAGACGTGTGGGAGGGCTCACCCCACGCAACGCTGCTTCTCTCGCCTCGACGACGCTTGGCGCACTCAGTTTCCTGAGGCCACTGAGCTGCCCCGCTGGGCTGATCTGATGAAGAAAAACATTGATATCTTTGCACTAGACTTTGATGCTATTCTCACTGCCATGTATGTGATGTCTATTAGTGGAGAGGGTGCTCAGTACCTGCGTGTTCCGCCCGACCCGGGCATTCGGACCAGTGAGGCTGCCGCTCTAGGTGCTAGAGTGTCTGCTACCCCAGGTGCTGGTGAGGCCACCGCTCTAGCTGCTAGTGAGTCTGCGCCCCCTGGTACTGAGCCGACTGAGGCACTGCACACCTTCACACTGGACTCAGGTGCTTCCCGCTGTTTCTTTCGTGACCGCACGGCCCTTGAGCAGCTTGCTCGGCCGGTTGCAGTCTCCCTCGCTGACCCCTCTGGGGGTCCGGTCCTTGCGACCTCCTCCACTGTCCTCCCCTGTCCTGCGGTCCCGTCGGGCACACTGTCAGGTCTCTACCTCCCCTCGTTCTCTACGAACTTGGTGGCGGGTAGTGCGCTCCAGGACGGGGGTGTCCACCAGTTCACCCCTGCCTACGAGCGCGTGACACACTGCACGTGTGCTCGGACGGGCCGTCACCTGGCTACCTTCACACGGCAGCCGGGGTCCGACCTGTACACACTGACCACTGAGTCCCCTCAGGTAGCTGCGTCTGCGTCTGCGTCAGGTCAGCTGTCGGCCCCCTGCTCGTGTCGCTCTCTGGCGCACGAGACCGTCCTCTGGCACCACCGACTTGGTCACCCGTCCGTGCAGCGCCTTCGGGCCATGCACAAACGGTACCTTGTCTCTGGTCTTCCCAGGGTTCTCCCTCCCCTCCCACCCTCGCCTGCTCCTCCCTGTCTTCCCTGTGTCGAGGGGCGGCAGCGCGCTGCTCCTCACTCCTCCTCGTTTCCCCCGACGACTGCTCCCCTGCAGACGCTCCACATGGACGTGTGGGGCCCCGCCCGCGTCCGTGGTCAGGGTCAGGAGAGGTACTTCCTGATAGTTGTTGACGACTACTCGCGTTACACCACGGTCTTCCCCTTGTGCACCAAGGGTGAGGTCCCTGATGTCTTGATCCCTTGGATCCGCGCTTCTCGTCTCCAGCTCAGCGAGCGTTTCCACTCGGACTTTCCTGTCCTGCGCTTGCACTCTGACAGAGGTGGTGAGTTCTCCTCCGACCTCTTGGCAGCCTACTGTGCGGAGCACGGCATCCGCCAGTCGTTCACGCTTCCGGCCTCTCCACAACAGAATGGGGTTGCTGAGCGCCGCATTGGCTTGGTCATGGAGGTCGCTCGTACCTCCTTGATCCATGCGGCTGCCCCCCATTTCCTGTGGCCGTTTGCGGTCCGATACGCTGCGCATCAGCTCAACCTCTGGCCCCGTGTCTCCTTGCCGGAGACTTTCCCGACACTGCGTTGGACGGGAGAGGTTGGTGATGCGTCGCGTTTTCGGGTCTGGGGATCTCGAGCTTTTGTTCGCGACACGTCCGCGGACAAGCTCTCCTCCCGCGCTGTTCCCTGCGTCTTCCTTGGCTTTGTCCCGGACGCGTCCGGTTGGCAGTTTTACCACCCCACCTCGCGCCGTGTTCTGCCCTCTCAGGACGTCACTTTTGACGAGTCTGTGCCCTACTACCGCCTCTTCCCCTACCGCACTGCCCCGCTCCCCCCCCCGCCTCTCTTCCTCGCGCCAGGTGCTGCTGTGGTAGACCCCCTCCCCCCTCAGGGTGCCGCTCCCTCAGGTGTGTCCCAGGTAGACCCGGTTGAGCCTGTTGAGGTAGCTGTCGACTCTCGTCCTGCTTGCGGTGCTGAGCCTGAGTGTGCGGAGCCTGGGGGTGCGGAGCCTGGGGTTGCGGAGTCTGAGGGTGCGGAGCCTGCGAGTGCTGAGCCTGGGGGTGCGGAGCCTGCGGGTACTGAGCCTGGGAGTGCTGAGTCTGGAGGTGCTGAGCCTAGGAGTGCTACACCTGGAGGAGCTCTCTCCTCACAGCAGCTGCGTGAGTGGTGCTTAGAGTACTGCAGCCTCAGGAGAGGTACTTCTGGAGCTCGGAGTGCTGCTGGAGCTGGTGCTCGTGCTTCCCCACCTAGGCGGGAGCTGCCCTCTCCCCAGCGGCTTCGCGAGTGGTACGCACGGCGCTGCACTCTCAGGAGTGGCGCTCCTCGTGTCACGGACCCGGGCGTTGGAGCTGCTGCTGGTCCTGCTGACCCTGGAGTTGGAGCTGCTACTGGTGCTGAGGACCCGGGCGTTGGAGCTGCTGCTGGTGCTGCGGACCCGGGCGTTGGAGCTGCTGCTGGTGCTGCGGACCCGGGCGTTGCTGGTGCTGCTGACCCTGGAGTTGGAGCTTCTGCTGGTGCTGAGGACCCGGGTGTTGGGACTGCAGCTGGTGCTGCAGACCCGGGCGTTGGAGCTGCTGCTGGTCCTGCTGACCCTGGAGTTGGAGCTGCTACTGGTGCTGAGGACCAGGGCGTTGGAGCTGCTGCTGGTGCTGCGGACCCGGGTGTTGGTGCTGCTGCTGGTGCTGTGGACCCTGGCGCTGGTGTCTCTTCTGGCTCTGGAGACACTGCACGGCCGCGGCCGTACTTCGTTCCGCTCCTTCAGCAGGTTCTTGGTCAGCCTCCTCCTCGTCGTCCTCCTCCCTCCTTAGAGTGTCCTCCGTCTGTCCAGTCGCAGTCACAGCTGCCGCCTGCCTCGCCCCTTCCTGGTCCTTCTCCCTACACTGGTCCGACAGGCGGTCTTACAAAGCGTCGTGAGCCAGAGTCTCGTCCTGTGTCGCCTGTGTCTCGTCCTGCGTCACCTGTTCGTGCTACTCGCACTGCTAGCCGTGTTCCGCGTGAGCGTCCTCCTGCTGTCCCCGGCACACACTATATGACTCTGCGTCCTTCCACTGCTCCCCAGCGTGTCCCTCTCCCGTCTCCTCCTGCGTCCTCTCTTCGTGCTCTTGCTGACCCGGAGTCTGACTCCCTTCGCACTACCAGTCCTACTGTCACGCGTCTCCTGGCTACTGTTGTCACTGACCCTTCCTTTGAGTCCGCTGCTGCGTCTGCCTTAGTTGCTGAGCTTGTCGACTTTGCTGCCACTTGTCGTCTAGACTACGCCGCTAGCCTAGTTGCTGAGTCTGAGTCTGTTTGTCCTCCGTCCGTCGGGGGTGAGTGTGCTCTTGGCACGGACGTTCTTGAGGACAGGCAGGAGGAGTTTGAGTGCTTCGCCGCTGCTTTACCTCATCTCGTGTCCATGCTAGTTGCCCCTGAGGGAGACCCGGATGCACCAGACATCCCGACTCCTCGATCGTACGCTGAGGCGATCGAGAGTCCCTACTCCTCTCAGTGGCAGTCAGCCATGGACGCAGAGATGGCTTCCTGGAAGTCCACAGGCACCTACGTTGACGAGGTTCCCCCACCTGGGGCGAACATCGTCAGTGGTATGTGGATTTTCAGGGTGAAGCGGCCGCCGGGTTCTCCGCCTGTCTTCAAGGCGCGTTACGTTGCACGAGGCTTCAGTCAGCGAGAGGGAGTGGACTTCTTCCAGACCTTCTCCCCGACCCCGAAGATGACCACTCTTCGGGTTCTGCTGCACGTCGCCGCTCAGCGTGACTACGAGCTCCACTCTCTTGACTTCAGCACTGCTTTCCTACAGGGCAGCCTGCACGAGGAGATCTGGCTGCGCCGCCCACCTGGCTTCACTGGATCATTCCCTCCTGGTACCCAGTGGAGCCTCCGGCGGCCAGTCTACGGTCTCCGACAGGCACCGCGTGAGTGGCACGACACACTGAGGACTACACTTGCGGCTCTTGGGTTCGCTCCCTCTACTGCTGACCCGTCGCTGTTTCTACGCACCGACACTTCGCTGCCGCCGTTCTACATCCTTGTGTACGTCGACGACTTGGTCTTTGCCACTGCTGACACTGCGGCACTCGCCCACGTGAAGTCGGAGCTGAAGAAGAGACACACGTGCACAGACCTGGGTGAACTGACAAGCTATCTTGGCTTGCGGATCACCCGGGACAGAGCACGGCGCACCATCACCTTGACTCAGTCACACATGGTGCAGCAGGTCCTTCAGCGCTTCGGCTTCACGTACTCCTCGCCTCAGTCCACTCCTCTGCCTACAGGTCACTCGCTCTCAGCTCTGCCTTCGGATGAGTCCGTAGAGCCGAGTGGCCCGTATCCAGAGCTTGTGGGCTGCCTCATGTACCTGATGACCTGCACTCGACCTGACCTCGCATACTCTCTTAGCATCCTTGCACGCTATGTAGCTCCTGGCCGTCACCGGAAGGAGCACATGGATGTTGCTAAGAGGGTGTTGCGCTACCTGTGCAGTACGTCGGGCATGGGGCTAGTGCTTGGAGGACGAGACCGAGTTGTACTCACTGGGCACTCAGACGCTTCTTGGGCTGACGACCAGGCTACTCAGCGGTCGTCACAGGGTTACACCTTCAGCCTTGGCTCTGGTTCAGTTTCTTGGCGTTCTACTCGTTCTTCTTCTGTTCTCAGCTCCAGTTGTGAGGCTGAGATCTACGCCACAGCCATGGGTGCACAGGAGTTACGCTGGCTCACCTACCTGCTGACCGACCTGGGAGAGCGGCCTAGTTCTCCTCCAGTGCTGTACGTCGACAACAAGGCTACCATTGCCTTGTGTGAGGAACACAGACTGGAGCACAGAACGAAGCATATCGCTCTGCGGTACTTCCTTGCTCGAGAGCTGCAGCAGCGTGGTCAGCTTCGTCTGCGTTACGTGGCCACTCGGGCCAACACTGCTGATGTGTTCACCAAGGCGCTTCAGCCTTGTGACCATCAGCGTTTCTGTACTGTTCTAGGCCTTGTGCCTACTTTCCCTCACTTGCTCACTTCTTGACTCTGCTTGTACTGTGATCTCTATATATATACCTGCATGCTTACTTTTGTTAGGTTGTGATCACTGTATCTCTTGTTATATTATCAAACTGCATGTGAACTGGTCTTGTGACCGCTTGCTTGTGCTCGGAATTTGTGTGGTATCCTTGAGATCCACCCTGAGCTTGTTTTGCCTTGCTTTGCTTTGACTGGTCTTGTGACCCCTTGCTCTCCCCCACTTCGCCTATGGGGGTGTGTCAAACATTATATATGTTGTAGTTGTTTAGGCTACAGTGGGTTAGCCTTTAGGGGGTACACAATTCTAGGTTTAGGTACTTGTACTCACTTCTCTCTCAATTCAACCATTCATTCTCTAACAGAGGGATGAGGAGATGAGGGATGGGGAGATGAGGGAAGGGGAGATGAGGAATGGGGAGATGAGGGAAGGGGTAATGAATGAGCGTGTATGCGACGGAAGGGTGCTGCTGACCACGCACCCTCCCACACCCCACGCAATGGGAAGGGATGAGAGGGTGGGCGGCATGGGTAGAGAAGCGATGGTGAAGAGGGGGAACGTGATGGGCAGGGGAGTGATGATGACGTGGAGAGAGGAGGAGAGAAGGGAGGTCGGCGGGAAGGCTAAGCGAGGACGATGGGAGGGCAAGCGTGGGCGACAGTGGCGGTGGGCGACGGTGGGGAGAAGCGTGGGCGACGGTGGGGGGAAGCGTGGGCGACGGTGGGGGGAAGCGTGGGCGACGGTGGGGGGAAGCGTGGGCGACGGTGGGGGGAAGCGTGGGCGACGGTAGGGGGAAGCGGGGGGCGACGGTGGGGGGAAGCGTGGGCGACGGTGGAGGGAAGCGTGGGCGACGGTGGGGGGAAGCGTGGGTGACGGTGGGGGGAAGCGTGGGTGACGGTGGGGGGAAGCGTGGGCGACGGTGGGGGGGAGCGTGGGCGACGGTGGGGAAAGCGTGGGTGACGGTGCTCCGAAGCGTGGGCGACAGTGGGAGGAATCGTGGGCGATGAGAGGGGAAACGTGAGGGAAGGTGGGGAAAGGCGTGAGCGACGGTGTGGGGGAAGGTCGGAGGAAGCGTGAGCGGCGATAAGGGGAAGCGTGAGCGACGGTGGGGGAAAGCTTGGGCGACGGTGGGAAGAGTGGGCGTGTGCGTGGGGAGGTGTGTGAGAGACGGTGGGGAGAAGCTTGGGGGACGCGGAAGGCGATAGGTCCAAATGCGATGTTTGGGAAAGAGCTAGGAATAAAAGTGAAAATGCTCATGGCCTATGCTGTAGTGGCGTTTTTTTCTATCTCTTCGCATACTCTAATCGCTTCGCGTACTATGGAAATCACACGACCTGAATTACCGAAGAAGGCAAACTGTGCACATTTTGAGCCCTTGTTCCTTCAGGAGGGTGTGGTTGGGACTCTCGCCAACCAAACCTGTTCTGCTCTACGACTCAGTGTTTCTTGGCGCAATGTTTTTTGGTAACCAGCCTGGCTCGGGAGGTCAACTGTGGGTTCGGTAGGCAAACTGTGCACAGTTTGCCTTCCTATTGAGAAAGCTTGCTTTCTGTTCTTGCAAAGGCAACGGGCTTCATTACAATTGCAGTAATACAACATTCTCGTCCAACTATGGATGGATTATACAGATATACAACTAGGGTGGGTGGGTGGGGAGTGGAACTGCAAAGTTCCGAAATGAAGTCGTGGGTGGAGGCCGAATGGCCTCCAACCCTCGTTATGTACTCGGCGAATTGTAATTCGCCGTTGCTTTGCTTCGTGACAGTCAGCTGCGCTTTCAAAATACGCATTTTTAGAAAGTGTTACACACTTTCGAAAAATTTCATATTGAGAAAGCTTGCTTTCTGTTCTTGCAAAGGCAACGGGCTTCATTACAATTGGGTCTTCTGAGACATGTGCAGTTGGGGTGTTGAAGACGTGGCGAGTGTAGTTGCGATTGATGGCCTTGACGAAGTGCCGAGAGAGGTGGCGTTGGTAATCGCGATCTCTATGTCGATGGCGTTCGAAATGTTGTGTGTGCGAAGGTTGCGTTCTGTTAGTGTAGATGTGCGTGTTTGTTGATGCAGCAGAATAGTGGTTGCAATTGGTGGTTCCCAACCAAGGTCTACACACCCAATGGACGGTGCAACTTTTATCTTGGGATTTACCATGTGCTCTGCTGTACTCTACGCTTCCAACCGTTTGAGGTTCGGGGCTATCTACAACGTGGATGTATGGGCTGAGTTGGTAGTAGCGGGAGGGTGTGTCCGTCATTTTGGTTAAATAGGTACTTTTTTTTTTTTTTTTTTTTTTTTTTTTTTTTTTCACACACGAATTCCGTCTTTAACTCCCAACACCTAAAGCCCATTCAAGTTCTTAACGAGACGCAACTTGTGGTAGCATGCTAGTCGCAACTCCCGTGCTTTTATTTCCATCTCGGGTGCGATCTAAGAGAGTGGGATGAGCATGATGGAAACCAATCCCTTTCTCATTGCCCTTATTTGGAGAGAACATTGAATGCGATGTAGGAGTGTGTGTGAACAACCGTAGTCAAGTCAGATTCAAAATCCATCTTGAGTTGCACTCTACCAACCATTTGTAACCAGGTCACTCCAAACAATTGCTTCCCTGGAAATTGATGGGGCACCAACCAACCTTTGTTTGTCAAAAAATGTTTGAGCCCCCCTTTTTTTTTTTTTTGAACTCTTATCATATACGGTTACATCAATAGCCAAGGATGATCCATACTAACACACACATTGTTCGAAATTCAGCCCATCTTACGGCAAGCCCAACATGGGGACCCTCGGTCCCCTTCCCCCCCTGGGGGACGGCTCTCAGGCCACACGGGGACCCTCGGTCCCCTTCCCCCCCTGGGGGGCGGCTCTCAGGCCACACGGGGACCCTCGGTCCCCTTCCCCCCCTGGGGGACGGCTCTCAGGCCACACGGGGACCCTCGGTCCCCTTCCCCCCCCTGGGGGACGGCTCTCAGGCCACACGGGGACCCTCGGTCCCCTTCCCCCCCCTGAGGGACGGCTCTCAGGCCACACGGGGACCCTCGGTCCCCTTTTCCCCCCTGGGGGACGGCTCTCAGGCCACACGGGGACCCTCGGTCCCCTTCCCCCCCTGGGGGACGGCTCTCAGGCCACACGGGGACCCTCGGTCCCCTTCCCCCCCTGGGGGACGGCTCTCAGGCCACACGGGGACCCTCGGTCCCCTTCCCCCCCTGGGGGACGGCTCTCAGGCCACACGGGGACCCTCGGTCCCCTTCCCCCCCTGGGGGACGGCTCTCAGGCCACACGGGGACCCTCGGTCCCCTTCCCCCCCTGGGGGACGGTTCTCAGGCCACACGGGGAGACCCTCTGTCCGCTCTTTTTATTGGGAGACGTCCTTGGGTGCGCGTGCAGTTTGATCCTGTAGTCCATGTAATTTCCCCGCGCGACTAGTAGAGCCTTTTATAAAAGTCTTTCCACCACTGTAGTGTTGGGCCTGATTTTCTGCCACCAAGGGATAAGAGGAGCTTATAGATTAATAGAAAAATAAACGAAGAGGACATAACGAAAATAAAACTGAAAGAAAATGACTTGCAGCACTTAGGCAACAAATGACGCCCAGTCAAACGACTAAGGGTGCGTTCCTGTGGAGACACTTGTGTCTCAATCCCCTTTTTTCCGAGTCACGTCTACACATTTTTGCAATCTCGCGTCACAAAAAATGAGTGTATCACGAAACTGTGCGACCAGGCGAAATTTACAGCTGTGCTCATTTGATTGGATTTCAAACTTGACTGAACACCTGTTTTTTCAACTGTCTGGTTCGGGTGGGGTTTTGACGAGCGGAACTTTTTCCCGCGCGAGATTTTTACTGTGGAGTGTCCAGGTGCATTGACATTTCGAACCGCGTACAGAGTTGTTGACAATGACGGGTCGATACGCAACTCGTCCGCGACATCAGCGCGTTTCACGCTGACAAATGAAAAATACATTAAAAGTCGCACAAGGGCGACACACGTTTGTGACATTGTACGTTATAAGCTGGTTTTACGTGTCACAAAAGGATTGAGACACAAGTGTCTCCACAGGAACGGACCCTGGCGCTGTAGTGGCAATTTCGTCACTGCCGCGCCAGCGGCCATTTCGTCCATGGCGCGCTAGTGGCGATTTCGCCACTGGCGCACGTGGCAATTTCGCCACATGCGCGCGTGTGGCGATTTCGTCCCTGGCGCGCGCCACTTGCGCCAGTGGCGATTTCGTCCCAATCGCCTGCCACTGGCGCCAGTGGCGATTTCGTCCCTAGCGCGAGCCACTGGCGCCAGTGGCAATTTCGTCACTAGTGCGTGCCACTGGCGATTTCGTCTTTGGCGCGCCTGTTGGCGTTTCGTCCGGCGCACTTCGCTCTCAGTTGAGCGCCCGCTAAGTACAGTTGCACGCGTGATATTGTTGCCCTTCATGAAAATCGATCGCTTGTAGGTGAGTCGTAGTAAGTAGTTCTAGTGACAGAGGAAACTTTCGAGGTGGTTGGACGAGAATGAGTGGAACTGCAAAGTTCCGAAATGAAGTCGTGGGTGGAGGCCGAATGGCCTCCAACCCTCGTTATGTACTCGGCGAATTGTAATTCGCCGTTGCTTTGCTTCGTGACAGTCAGCTGCGCTTTCAAAATACGCATTTTTAGAAAGTGTTACACACTTTCGAAAAAATTCATTTTTTTGTAATTCAGGACTTGGGCTTTAAGTCTAAAAAAATGACATCATAATCATACCACTTGAAGTGTACATAGAAATAATACCGTACCTTATTATTGAAGCACTTATAAACCACGCAATTTGGAAGGCAAACTCTTAACAAGGCAAGAAAAAACCTTTCCAAGACATATAATGTTGTATCCACCATAAGCATCAACAAGAGAAGATCAACATCTTTTAGATGTTCAACATGTTGCTAGAGCAGCCTTTGTTGCCCCCAAACATTTAATTCAATAGAGATTGGCATCGGTTACAGGCCAGAGAACAAATAATCGCACACCATGGCTTGCAACATGGGCAGTCGGCTCTTTAGACTTGACCGAGTTCAAGGTGGGTTCCTGCACCAAAGGTTTCACGCCACGAGGAGCATAAATATGAGAACATATATTGTGCTACATGTGTGCGTATATTGAAGCATGTGCATGCATGTGGTGTGTGCACGTGCCTGCATGCATACTACATCTTCAGGATGAGAATAAGAACCCAGGAAAGTTTGTGAGGCAAGACGAATACACATACCTTCCACAGGTCTCGTGCATGCATCAGCTGCTCCGGATTCAGCCCGAAAGGATAGGTGAGAGGGGGAGGTGGGGAAGTATAGAGACATGGTGCGTGCGAACACACGTACCTTCCACAGGTCTCGTGCATGCATCAGCTGCTCTGGGTTTAGCCCGATCGCTTCCCAAGTTACGGTCACATTGTGGCTCCTCTTGCCACGGTTCACCAGTGCCACCACTTTCCGACCCTCCGATAGAGATCCCATCCAGACCTGCAGGTTCGTGAACAGGTAGCGCGGATCAAAGACAGAAAATGAGCATTGTGATTCCAATGCATATGGAGCGAATCATCGTAAGCCATGCACTTAGAATCAAGTCAGCTCGCAAAAACCTCACTATGGTCACACTCATGCAAGGCACAGAGAGCAAGAGAAGGTTTAATGTTCTCACTTTCACCGGAGATCCCTTGGATAGTTGCACCTTCTGAGCCTGCACTCCCAATGAATCTGCACCAATCACAGTATGGCACGTGTCAGCATAAGCCAAGCAGGTGGCATGCAATGAAACATCTGCATGAGCTCACACACAGTGCTTGCCTTAACACCGAGCCTGCTTGCATGCATACCTTGGTTGAGGGTGATGGCCTCGTCGGTGCTGAGAATGGTCATGGCTGGCTTCGATCAAGGACCTACATGCATGAGTCGAGTACCTCGCACGCACCTTGCATGTGCATACCTTGGTTAAGGGCAATGGCCTCATCGGTGCTGAGGATGCTCATGGCAGGTTGCGATGTAGCAAAGAGAATGCACCATCACTGCTAGCAATAGCATCGAGCCTGCTTGGGTAGCGTACCTTGGTTGAGGGCAATGGCCTCATCAGTGCTCAGGATGCTCATGGATGGTTCCGATGCAGCAGAGAGACCTTTGAATCGAGGACCTACATGCATGAGTCGAGTACATCGCACCTTGCATGTGCGCACCTTGGTTGAGGGCAATAGCCTCGTCTGTGCTGAGTATGCTCATGGCTGGTTCCGATGTAGCAGAGAGTGCGCAGGCCGGCAGGAGTGGCGCCTGTGGGAGGTGAAAAGGTGGGTGCTGTTGAATTGAGTGCAGCGCACAAGAGGTTGGTACGAGAAGAATTTTGAGTCGACTCAAAAGTCACCTCTGGTGGGAGGTGAAAAGGTGGGTGCTGTTGAGTTGAGTGCAGCGCAGAAGAGGTTGGTACGAGAAGCTGTGTGTGCGTACAGGCGTGCATGTGCATCCATGAAAGCATCTGTGCATGCATGGAGCATTTTGTATGCGCACATGCAGAACTGCATGCATGCATGGAGCATTTTGTATGCGCACATGCAGAACTGCATGCATGCATGTGTGCATGTATGTATGCATGCATGCAGGAGTGTGTCGTCACCTTCATGATGGCCCAGCGATTGAAGTGCACATGGTACGCCGACTCTCCCATGCCACCCTTTGCCACATGCTACATGGAGCACATGCATACGCGCATGCATGCATGTTAGCAAGCAGGAGGGTGTCCCCACCTTCATGATGGCCCCGCCTCACCCTCACCTTCATGATGGCCCAGCGATTGAAGTGCACATGGTACACCGACTCTCCCATGCCGAGCTTCACCACCTGCAGAATGTCCAAGTCTGATACAGGAGGAGGCACGGGGGTGGCGAGGTGATGAATGTGGGTAGGAGGAAGGATAGGTGAGTGGGGAGGAGATTGAAGTGCACATGGTAAGTCGAGTGTCCGATGCCGAACTTCTCCATTTGCAGAATGTCCAAGTCTGATATAGGAGGGAGACAATAGTGGAGGTAGGGGAAGAGAATAGGGGAGTGGGGGATTGCGAAAGAGTTTACAACACCTGAACACCTTGTGACACGCCTTGAACGCGTGGCGACACTTGCGACAACAATTGAACGCGTGGCGACACTTGCGACAACAATTGAACGCGTGGCGACACTTGCGACAACAATTGAACGCGTGGCGACACTTGCGACAACAATTGAACGCGTGGCGACACTTGCGACAACAATTGAACGCGTGGCGACACTTACGACAACAATTGAACGCGTGGCGACACTTGCGACAACAATTGAACACGTGGCGACACTTGCGACAACAATTGAACGCGTGGCGACACTTGCGAGAACAATTGAATGCGTGGCGACGCTCGCAGCAACACTTGAACGCCACCGGAATAAGTAAACTCCTGTCTGTGTGGCTGCACGCACCATTCCAGCTGCGAGGGTCGGCATATTTGGCCCACTTGTTGTTGGCGTCTGAAACCCAAGTCACGCTGCATGTGCCATATGCATACACGTGTGCAGGCAAGGAGGCACGATACATGCATGCAGGCAGGGAATAAAGATGGAATCATTGAGCTTGAGAATATATCATGAGCATTGTCCTTCCATCTCTCCCTCCCTCCATGCTCCATCTAGCTCAATCCTCTCCATCTAGCTCAATCCTCTCCATCTAGCTCAATCCTCTCCATCTAGCTCAATCCTCTCCATCTCCCTCCCATGCCACTTGAGACGTCTCAAATTGCACCAGCCGCGTGTCACTCCTGAAAAAATGAGTGTTTTGAGACGTCTCAAATTGCACCAGCCGCGTGTCACTCCTGAAAAAAGGAGTGTTTTGAGACGTCTCGAATTGCACCAGCCGCGTGTCACTCCTGAAAAAAGGAGTGTTTTGAGACGTCTCAAATTGCACCAGCCGCGTGTCACTCCTGAAAAAAGGAGTGTTTTGAGACGTCTCAAATTGCACCAGCCGCGTGTCACTCCTGAAAAAAGGAGTGTTTTGAGACGTCTCAAATTGCACCAGCCGCGTGTCACTCCTGAAAAAAGGAGTTTGAGACGTCTCAAATTGCACCAGCCGCGTGTCACTCCTCCCTTCAGCCACGTGTCCCTCACCTCCTCCACGTGTCATCAATGGCAAGGGTGGTGCGCCACGGATCTGCCACGCCATACGCCCACAGTGCAGAGGTGTCCTGTCCCCTGCAATCAGCAGCACACGTGGCACAATGAGTTAGCAGTACACATGGCAGACGGAGGTAGCAGCACACGTGGCAGAATGACTTCGCAGTTCACGTGGTGGAAGGAGGTAGCAGCACATGTGGCATAAGGAGGTTGCAGCACATGCCGTCCTCTCATAAGAGATCCTCCCATCTCACCCTTCACACATGGAGACCAAGATGCCTCTCTTGTTTTGAGGTGCCTCAAAAAAAGGGATCCTCCCATCCCAACTCACCCTTCACACATAGATGGAGATTGAGATGTCTCTTCCAGTGGCCTCCAACGCATTGCGCATGGCCGTGTGGCTGAGAGAGGTGATTGCCAGGCATGGGGCGCTCACTCATCATTCACCCATATTTGTCACTCACCCTTCACACATGGAGACTGAGATGTCTCTCCCAGTGGCCTCCAATGCATTGCGCATGGCTGTGAGTCTGAGGATTGATGATGGGCATCCAACAACGAAGTATGGATAGGAGGAAGGCAGGGGAGAAATATGGAGAGAAAAGAACAAGGCAAGGACAGTGTAAGAGCACAAGAAAATTCATGACCAAGCAAGTACAAGCAGACAGAGGGGACCTTCAGATAGACGGGGGAAGAAAGGACAAGGTGAGTTTGTCGTCTCGGGTCAACAAGAGCGAGTCAGACAGGAGCGAGTCAGACAGGAGCGAGTCAGACAGGGCTTACCCTCTCTTGGTGGGAGTTCCATCGTCGTAGCAGGTGTCGTATTTGACATAGTCCACTCCCTGGCGTCACATTGGAACAAAATCAGGTATAAGAACAAAGCCCACAGAATGGCCGGCAGACAGGAGAAGGCAGGCATTAGTCATCATGCAGGTGGCAGCAGAGCACGCACTGGTCAGATCGCTGCTACATGATGCAGCAGGGATTTTTTGAGAAATCTCAAAAAACACACGCTCGAACATATCACCCTCCCACAGAGCATGCACTGGTCAGATCGCTGCTACATGATGCAGCAGGGAATCACTTTTGAGAATTCTCAAAAGTGATTCTCAAAAGTGATCGCTGCTACAAGATGCAGCAGGGATTCTGTCATAGGACATGTCATGCACTGTTAAATTGAATTATGCAATGGTGGACCCGCGTTAATGCCTTACATGCCCTGCAAAGGCACGTCGCTTGAACCAAGAAAAGGAAAAAAAAACGACACTCAATGCAGCAGATCAAGTTTTGAGGCGCCTCAAAAGGCACGTCGCTTGAACCAAGAAAAGGAAAAAAAAACGACACTCAATGCAGCAGACCAAGCAACCTGAAGCAACCTCGTGACTCACCCATTCAGCGAAGGTGAGGGCGTCTATCGCCTCATGCCCGAGTGACCCTGGCTTGCCTGCACACGTGCGCTTCCTGATAAGACAAGGACAATGGAAGGGGAGGGGTCGGTCGGAGGAAGAGGAATAGAGCAGAGGCGTGTGGATTTGAGATCAGCCTTAGTAAGCTTGCACACACAGGACTCACTCAATCTCTCTCACTCTCACCCCGCTCTCTTTCTCCCTCCTCCCCTCCCCCACCATGTCACCAGACCAGCCGTGCTCAGCTCAACTCTGTACACAGCCACCTTTCCCCCAGCTCACCCTGAATCGGAGTAGAGCCCCAGCTTGAGCCCCTTGCTGTGCCCATAGTCTGCAGCCCCTATTCCCTCTCCGCCTGCCCCCCACACATCAACCATCATGAAACACGCAATCACAACCCCCCCTCACCCGGAATCGGAGTAGAGACCCAGGTTGAGCCCCTTACTGTGCACATAGTCTACAGAACCATCCCCAACCAGCCCCACCCAACCTCCCCCCCCTTCCCCCGAAGCCTTGGTAGGGCCATCTGCACACACTGACTCACCCAGAATCGGAGTAGAGGCCCAGCTTGAGCCCTTTGCTGTGCACGTAGACTGCTAGCGCCTTGATGCCAGACGGGAACGACATTGGAGATGCCACCAGGCGACCCTGAACCATGGAAAGACATTGGAGAAGAGAGAGAGAGAGAGAGAGAGAGAGAGAGAGAGAGAGAGAGAGAGAGAGAGAGAGAGAGAGAGAGAGAGAGAGAGAGAGAGAGAGAGAGATTTCAAGTTGACGTTCTGCCAAGAGCTGACTTTTGAGTCGACTCAAAACTCAGAGGTCGGAGATGCCACCAGGCGACCCTGAACCATGGAAAGGCAACGGAGAAAAGAGAGAGAGAGATTGCAAGTTGACGTGCTGCCAAGATAGCGTTGAGACGCCTCAGAGGATGGCATGAGGCCGAACAGTTCGTTGAGACATCACAGCATGGCATCAAATGTAGCGTTGAGATTGAGACGTCATGGAAGTTGGCATGACTCTCCCAATGGAGAGTAGAAATCTCAGAAATAACCATGCTTCCAAACGGAGGGTAAACACATGTAGCCATGGCTAATGCTCCGTTGGAACTTGATTAGAGTCAATATACCACCTTTAATCGAAGCACCCACCTTTGAGTCTCTGGAGTCAGCTTGCCAGCAGTCATCTGCAAGGAAAGCAAGAAACAAGATTGGTCAAAAGAGGCAAGAAACAAATTTGGTCTGGTCACCTTGTATCATGAAAACCAAACTGTAAAAGAAAATGGCAGAACTGGCTGAAATTGTTGAAAGACTTGTGGCTGAAGCAGGAAGCACCACTGCAACAGCCCAGATGACATGAGCTTGTCAACTTGAGATATGGAGAGCGACTTTTGAGTCGACTCAAAAGTCACCTCTTTTGAGTCGACTCAGATGACACGAGCATGTCAACTTGAAGTTTCCAGAGTGACTTTTGAGTCGACTCGGATGACACAAGCTTGTCAACTTGAAGTTTGCAGAGTGTGCGGGATGAAAAAGGCAGATAGTACAGCTTTAGAAAAAGAGTTAGATGTGTCTCACCTATGTTGACATAGACGTAACCAAGGGCCGCTAGCCCTGATGATACGAGCTTGTCCGCTGCCAGGCACAATCAACGATTAGGGAGTGAGAACTGGTTTGCAGGCGTTCTGGAAAGAATGGCTGGCATGAATGCTCTTAACTAAATGAATTGCAAATGCAGAATGAGTCAAGTAGCTGCAAACACTACGGATACTAGTGGTACTAGTCTGCAGCAGCCACCAGTCATGATGAATGAAGGTGACTTTTTTGAGTCGACTCAAAAGTCACTACGGATACTAGTGGTACTAGTCTGCAGCAGCCACTAGTTATGATGAATGAAGGTAGCATGGAAACAGCATTGAAGGAATAAGGGCATATAGAGACCTTACCACGATCAGGAGTAGCAGTGTGATGGCAGCCTCTCACCTGCAGTTTTGACAATGTCTTGTGTGATATTGCACTGGAAGTGGTCACAGCTGCAGCATGGTGGCAACCACCGAGGTTGAGAGTCTCACCTGCAGTCTTGACCATGTCTTCTGTGACATTGCACTGGAAGTGGTTCCAGCTGTTCCATCTGCCACAGCAAGCCACACGGACAGTGCAAGCAAAAACAGAAAACGATAAGCTATCTCTGCATGAACAATCGAAGAGATGAATTCCAATGGTATGACTCATACAGGTACTCGTGCTAACTTTTACTGAGGTGTTCAATGTTCAAGTATTTACCCGAGCGGGCTTGAAAAGGTCTTCTGAGTCTTGGGCACAGAAGCTTGGACGTGAGTCCGGGGCACGGTTCCAGGAAGGTCGAGCTTCTCTTTCCTTCCAACCCTCAGCACAGTCGGAACAGACGCCCCTCCGCTGATAGCGGAAGCTTGGTGGAAGACAACCGCGAGGCAGAAGCACATGGATACGAACCAGGCCTCCATTCTCCTGTCAGACATGGCGGCACTGAACCGAGAAGCCCAGACGCGTGGGCAAGCACTGCTGGCAGCAGGCACCGCCAGGACTAACTGGCCGTTAGTAGCTCTGTCAAACAAGCTACTAAGCTTCTCTGATTCTGGAATCCGCAGGAGTTTGCTGGACATTCCAAGAATGGGCAGTGCAGCTGCCTCATTCACAGAAGACTCTTCACGCCTTCCGGTAGGGAGAGCTAGCTAGCTGCCGGCCGGCAAAGAAGGACAGGCAGGACCCACACATCATGCTGAGAGTTCACCTCTCTGTCATGACTCGTAGGCCTTCCTGATGCCCATTTTTCACGTGCAGATTCATGCAACGCCGAGTAGGCTGCCTGGCCTGCTCCGCGATTTTCCCTGAGAGAGTCCCTCATTGCGTGCATCTCCTTCACTGAGCGCCAGGGACTGCCCAGAGCAAGGAATGCCTGCGGCAGGCTCGCAGACTCTCACAGCCTCATAACGTCGGCCTCTCCTTTTTTTCCATCACGGAAGGACAGTCGTGTGATCAGGTCCGGTCCGACCACTGCTGGCAGCAGTAATCCACCAGACCACCGTGATTTTTGTCTGCACTGCATCTTACTAGGGTTCAAGCCTTGACTGAGTCAAGTTGCCTCCCAGGCCTCCCAGTACCGCAGAAAATGAACGAAGGAATTGAAGGGGTCGCAGGCATTGGTCGCACAGGTGGTCGCAGGCCTCCTGGTCGCACAGGTGGTCGCAGGCCTGGTCGCACAGGTGGTCGCAGGCCTGGTCGCCGCGTGACTTTCTCTCCGTCACGTCATGACGGTCATTTGGCATATGGCGGTGGAGGTATTCGTGTGTGCTTCTTTGAAGTTCACCCTGCAGACCTCGCTGATGATCGTCTGCTCCTGTGTGTGCTTTGTTCTGACACGGCGAGTCGTTCGCTCTATCCACCCCATGATCTCCCGGAGATCATCAAAATGGGCCATCTTTGGGTGATCTGCAGGCCTGCCCAGTTGCATTGTTGTCTGTGGGCCTTGATCATGTACAGTGTACAGTAAGGAAGACTTTCCGCCCTGGAAAGTCTTCAACACTGTATACTGCTTGGAGAAGCAGTCGAGCGAGAACTGAAATGTTGAGAAACACGGACCTGCCGGCCAAAAGAGTCCCAGAGATAACTTATGGCGGCTATGGTCGACGGTAATGGAGGAACTACTAGGGCGTACCTTTGATGACACAACTCACAAACTGAATGGACGACGGGCAACAACTGCACCCTGCACCAAAATAATAGGACCTCTTTACCAGGCTTGAATGGCCTGAATCCTTCGGCTGGTTGGAAACACATGGTCCGCAAGTAGGGTTGGGTGGCGAAAGCATGGGCAGCAGGTAACATTGCACTCAAGACTAAGGTTACACTTGTGGAAAGGAAACAAAATGATATCAACTCGGTTGGCAAATGATATTATAATGTGCACACAGATATGCACTTTCATTGAAATATTCAGACCCATAAATATGCAAGGCCGGCTATTATCACAAGGCTATTACAACAAGGCAGAAAAACCCAAGACACCCTACGGTGGCATATCCACCATTCACACCATTGGGAGAAGAGACACATGCCTTGAGGACCTACAAGCTGCTATTGCAAACATGGCTGCTCCCGCTGGATTCTATAGTTTCAGATTGGCATCTGTGACAGGCCAGAGAACAAATAATCGCACACCATGGCTTGCAACTTGGGCGGTTAGCTCATTAGAGTTGGCAGAGTTAATGAGAGAGTCCTGCACCACACAGCATAAACACGATGAGGAGCACACATATGAGAACAAACAAATTGTGCTGGATGAGTGTGATGGGTACGCATATCTGTATATGAGTGGTACATTAGAGGCTGAGAGTGAAAATTAGGAGAGAGAAGGGGACGCAGGGAAGTGTAGAGTCATGGTGCGTGCGGACACACATACCTTCCACAGGTCTCGTGCATGCATCCGCTGCTCCAGATTCAGCCCAATTTCTTCCCAACTGACGGTCACATTCTCGCTCTTCCCACCACGGTTCACCAATGCCACCACTTTCCGACCCTCAGATAGAGACCCCACCCAGACCTGCAGGTTCGGGAACAGGTAGCACAAAATAGGGGCAAGAATCAAGCAGTGTGACGCCAGGGAAGATTATACAAGTCAGCTGAAGTGAAAGATCTGGATCCAAGGCTGTCCTTGACTCACGAGAGAGTTTAAAACGCAATAAAGTGCAAGAGAGAGTTTAAAGTTCTCACAAGGCATGACGAGAGAGTTTTAATGTTCTCACCTTCACTGGAGATTCCTTGGATAGTTGCACCTTCTGTGCTTGCACTCCCAATGAATCTGCATCAAGAATGCGGCACGTGTCAGCAAAATCCAAGAATGTAACATGCATTCAATAACCAGACTTCCAGCTTGCATGGGAGCGTACCTTGGTTGAGGGCGACAGCCTCGTCGGTGCTGATTATGCTCATGGCTGGCTGTGACTCCGCAGAGAGAGCGCAGGCCGGCAGGAGTGGCGCCTGTGGGAGGTGAGAAGGTGTGAGGCGAATGGGTAGGAGGCTGAGTTGGATGCAGCGCAGAAGGGATAGGAATGGCAAGCTGTACGTGTGCATACATGCATGGATAGGCATGCATGCATACAGCCATGCAGGCACATGTGCATGCATGTATCTACGTAAGCATGCAGGAATGTGTCCTCACCTTCATGATGGCCCAGAGATTGAAGTGCACATGGTGCTCTGTCTCGCTCATGGCGCCCTTCGCCACTTGAAGAATGTCCAGGTCTGATGAAGGAGGGAGATCAATGGGGGTAGGGAAGGAGAAGAGATGAGTGGGGGGTGAGGAGAGAGTGTACAACACATGATACACAACACACGCCATGCTACACGTGCACGCCCTTAGAAGTCGACTCGTGTGTGTGGCTGCACGCACCATTCCAGCTGCGAGGGTCGGCATATTTGGCCCACTTGTTGTTGGCATCCGAAACCCAAGTGACACTCCTCCACGTGTCATCAGTGCCAAGGGTGGTGCGCCAGGGATCCGCCAACCCATACGCCCACAGAGCAGAGCTGTCCTGTCCTTGGCACACGGAGAGCGAGATGTCTCTCCCAGTGGCCTCCAAGGCATTGCGCATGGCCGCATGGCTGAGGGTTGATGAGAGGCATCCGGCAGCAAAGGGTGGAACAAGAGGGAGGCAGTGGAGAGATACGGAGCTCCAAGGTTGAGTATTCAAGGAAGGTGAGTCCTGGACACTGTATGAGCTCAAGGAAATGAGTACAAGGCTTGGACGGTGTATGAGAACAAAGGGAATGCAAGTCCAACCAAGTACAAGAAGACAGGACAAACGAGAAGAAAGACGGAAGAATGAGGTAAAGTACCAGATAATGGAAGAGAGGAAGAGCTGGGAGCGAGGCGGACAGGACAGGGCATACCTTCTCTTGGTGGGAGCTCCATCGTCGTAGCACCTGTCGTATTTGACATAGTCCACTCCCTGGCATCACATTGGAACACAGTCGCAGCAAGGCAGGCAGATGTGAGAAGGCATGCACGGAGGAGAAAAGACAGGCGCTACTCCTCCATCCAGCATATTCAGCAAGCAGATTCGGCCTCGAGACTCACCCATTCAGCAAAGGTGAGGGCGTCAATCGCCTCATGCCCGAGTGACCCTGGCTTGCCTGAACACGTGCGCTTCCTGCCAAGGTCAGTGGAAAGGGAGGGGTCGGAGGGAGGGTGAGTAGAGCAGCAGAGGCAAGTGGATTTGAGAATAGCGTTTTTAAGCCTGCACAGCTGTCCCCCACCCCCATTACCATCACAAGCCTGCTCATCTCATCTCCACACACTGACTCACCCGGAATCGGAGTAGAGGCCCAGCTTGAGGCCCTTGCTGTGCACATAGTCTGCTAGCGCCTTGATGCCCGACGGGAAGGAGACCGGAGATGCCACCAGGCGACCCTGGGAATCCCTAGAGTCGGCTTGCCAGCAATCATCTGCAAGAGAAAGCAAGAAACAAGATTCGTCAGAAGAGGCCACACCTTGTAACATATCGAAGGAGACACGACGCTGTTAGTAACAGCCCAGCTGACGCCCCCTTTGTGCACATGAGGGCAGATGTGTCTCACCAATGTTGACGTAGACGTAGCCTTGGGCTGCTAGCCCAAATGACACGAGATTGTCAGCTGCAAGGCACAATACGACGCACAAGGAATAGGAAGTGAGAACAGGTAAGCCGGCGTGCGGAGAAGAGAGGCTGGCATGGCATAGGAGCAGCGTTGAGAATAAGAGCATGGAGTCTTTATCTCATGCTGGGGAGATCCTGCACTGCAGTATCATGGTGGAAACCTCTCACCTGCAGTCTTGACCATGTCTTCGGTGATACTGCACTGGAAGTGGTTCCAGCTGTTCCATCTGCCACAGCAAGACACACAGACAGCGCAAGCACAACAGGAACTAGGTAAGATCATCTAGCTAAGCAAGAACGTTTTGCTTTAAGAAAGAAAGAAAGAAAGAAAGGAAGGGATCATGAAACAGATTTTCAAGGCTTACCCGAGCGGACTCCGGAAGGCCTTCTGTGTGGGCACAGCTCCAGTAAGGTCGCCTCGGAGTTTCTCTTTCCTTCCGACCTTGAGAACAGTGGGAACAGACGCCCCTCCGCTGATAGCGGAAGCTTGGTGGAAGACAACCGCGAGGCAGAAGCACATGGATACGAACCAGGCCTCCATTTTCCTGTCTGACATCATGCTGGGGGCGCTGAACCAAGATGACAAGGTAAACAGCTTGCACTGGGAGCCGCAGGCGCTGGTACTCGTAGCTTTGTCAAGATAAGGAAGTAAGCTTTCTGACTCTCGAATCCGCATAAGTTTGCTGGCTTTCCGAGAATGGCAGCTCCTTCATATACAAAAGACTCTTCACGTCTTCTGGGACTCGTAGGCACGGTTTGCCGGCCAGCAAGGGAGACGGACTTGGTAGCGGACATATCATCCCACACATACACATACCTGAGAGGTCACGACTTATGAGTCAGATTCTTGACTATCATTTGCTGTGCATATTTATCCATACGCACAGCTTGCCAGGGCGGGTCGTCTGCTGCACCACGACTTGCATAGTCATTCTTGATATTTGTTTTATGCGGCGTCAGAATGGGATTCACGTCACGGCTAGTGATTAGCCGGGGAGCCTGGCACTGCTAGCGGTCAAGCTCGAGCCTCAGCCTGAGATTGTCTGCTTCCGGAAGCCCGACAGTCGTGCGGGTCCGGCCAACAGTTCTCCTATACCGCGTTCTTCGTCTGCATCCGCCAGGGCTCGAGTCAAGCGCTTTGCACAGCAGAAAAAAAGAAGAGGAGGAATTTCTTTAGAAACAGAACGTACTTGCCGGCCACAGTGTACTGTGCAGTAGTACTAGAAAATGTATAGTAAAGTCTTCAGAAAAAAATCAAGGGAACTGTCGAACACTGCACGACTTTTTTCCGTCAATCACGCGAATCGCCCAGGCAGACCCCGACTCGTTTCCCCCATCCCATCCCATCCCATCCCAGTTCCCAGAGCTGTGCTGCTGCGGTGTTTGCTTCTTTGCCGTGTTGGCCTGCAGGTCTCGTTGATCGGCTGCTGCTGTGTGGTTGTGGTTCTTTCTTTCCATCGTGTGATGTGCATCCTTGAGTGATATGCAGGCCTGCCAAGTTGCATCTGAATGGCTGAGCTGGACACGGTCCATGGAAGTCTTCCCGCCCTAGAGTGCTTGTACTGAGAAACTTGTGGAACTTTGAAATTCTGGACTTCCCTGATTTGCTTGCTTGCTCTGGTCACATATGGCTGCTTGCTTGCCTGCTCACCTGCTGCACTACGCATGCTGGATTGCGTCGGATTCCTTCACGGCTGGTGAGGTGATTCGCTGGGAGCCTTGCACTGCCGAGCCTGGCGGCCTGTCAGCCTCTGAGTCAGGCTCGGAGCCCCTGCTGTCCAATTTCTGTCACTAAGAGTCGCCCGAGTCCGACAAACAGCGCTCCATCCTAGTCAAGCGCTTTGCACCGCTGGAAAAAGAAATTCAGTAGACTAGAAGCAAAGGTTGCGTTCTGCAGGCGCATCAGCTCTGATGCGTCTGAGGCTCGGCCTGATCGGAACATTGAGAAATTGAGGTTCAGAAATTGCGAACTGGAAATTGAGAAATTGAGGTTGACATTTATATTGGCGTTGTTCTGCAGGCATTTAGGGTTCCGCACCAATTTGACCCCGGTAGCCTTCCGTGCATTTTCTAGGCGCATTCATGCTGGTTGCGTTGCGTGGATGTTGCTGCCTCGCATAACATGTGCGGAGGCTGATGCTAGCTCCCGAGGTAGAATTAGCACCGCACTAGTTGTGCGGCCATTTGCCCGGCGAAGCAACAACTTCGAACCTGCAGACGGTTAAATTCGTGCGCCCCAAAAGTGTCGTTCTACAGGCCGATGCGTTAAATTTGGCGCAAACAGGTTCGGCAGGACCTTCCTTATCACCAAACCTTGATAGGCAGAAGACCACTTATCAACGAAGATTCTGCGGACCCAGTTTTTGGAATTTTAACGCCTACAGAACAGCGCCATTGAGGTTTGGAATATCTGACGAAATTGAATTGAGGTCAGGAAATTGGACATTCAATTTCTTGACGAACTAAAAAAATGCGAATGTTACAGGTTTCTTGGAAGCTTCTTCATCACTGAATTTCAGTTTGACCAAACTGATTGGCCAATGAGGTTGCAGCGCATCAGCTGATACGCGCATGATCCGAGTTTTCGAAGTCGCATGATGCGCGCATCAATGTTGCGCTAGCTGTCAGAATGTTATTGTTCTCTAGCCTGCAGTGGGGTACTCTATAGCGAGTACAACCCCTTAGGGTTTCCTATATGTATCCTGCTGCTTTCTAGTGAACACCCTCCTTTTGCTTATTCTCTCTTGCCTAGCTAGGGCTTACCTAGCTAAGGCTCCTACTTGTGCTTACTATCTCAACATGCTATCAGAGCATCTACGCTCCTGGCCTGTGGGCCCACCTAACTGCTTCCGCTGCTACTCTGTGTGTTGCACGCCCCGTGGCGTGCGACGGATTTCTCTTCCCGCCGCGCGCTCGGAGCGTGCGGCGGTTTTCTGCCCGCCGTGCGCCCCGAGGCGCGCGGCGGCCTTCTGCCCCGTCGGTCCGCGCGTCGCCCCCGGGGGGCGCTTCGACGGGCGACGGGGACCAGCCCGTCGTCCCCCGTCGCCCGTCCTGGCCAGCGCGGGCTGCGCTAGCCCCGAGCGCGGCCCGTACGGGCTGCGCCAGGCCCGCGCGCGGCCCGTACGGGCTGCGCCAGGCCCGCGCGCGGCTCGGGCCGCCTGCGCGCGGTTCGTCGGGCTGTGCCAGGCCCGTGGGCGGCCCGTTCCTCTCTGTCCCTGAGCTGTTCGCTGTCCCCCGTGCTTCTGACGGTGCCCCACCCCTGCTGCTGCCCGTTCTCCTGAATTAGGGTTTGGGGGTGAGGAGTGTGGGGGTGGCGGTTGTGTGTTACTCCCCTTGCTCCTCCTCCTCCCTGGTCTCCCACTGCTGCAGCTGCCGCTGAGGGGGGTGGGTGTGTGGGAGCCTAGGGTTTAGGGTTTAAGGGGGGTGCCGTGGGAGTGGAGCTAGGGTTCAGCAGGGGGTTTGTGTCGAGGGTGTGGGGCAGTTGGAGGAGGTTGTGTGAACGTAGCTGTCGTGTCGCCTGCAGCGCCTGTAGTCCGTCGCCCTTGCTTCGGTAGCCAGTGAGCCTGTTGCACCAGTCGCCAGTGGGTCCGTTGCTCCTGCCGCTCGTCTATAGCCGCGGAGCCAGTCACTCCAGTAGTCCGTCGCCCTTGCTTCGGTAGCCACTGAGTCAGCCGCTCCTGTGCCCGTGCCTCTGCAGCTTCAGTCGTTGCCTCGCATCTTCTCTCCCTCCACAGTTCCTCCTCCTCCTCACTTGCCCGCTGTGATTAACTCTAGCTTTGCTTACTATTGTGAACTCCTGCTATACCTGCTCTAGGACTACTTGCTCTGCTGATTATACCCCACTTTGACTATGGGGGTGTGTCAGAATGTTATTGTTCTCTAGCCTGCAGTGGGGTACTCTATAGCGAGTACAACCCCTTAGGGTTTCCTATATGTATCCTGCTGCTTTCTAGTGAACACCCTCCTTTTGCTTATTCTCTCTTGCCTAGCTAGGGCTTACCTAGCTAAGGCTCCTACTTGTGCTTACTATCTCAACACTAGCTTGCTAGGAGACGAAGCTTCTTGGAAAGCAAACACATTACAAATTGTCAAACTTATATGCTATAGTCTGTGTAGGCTGTAGTGGGGTTGACAATATAGGGTACAACACTTTTAGGTTTTCCTACTTGTACCCACCTGTTTCCTAGTGCATCCATTCCTCGTTCTTTCACATGGTATAGAGCAGGTTCCCTAGTGGGAACGTTTCCTTGGGCCCACCGAAAATCGATATATATATATATTTTTTCCTGCCCGGAGCGCGCTTCGCCCCTGCCCGAGTCGCGCCCCGTGTGCCTGCCCTCCCGTCGCGTCCCCTGCCCTTAGCGGCCCGTCGCGCTCCCTTACGGCCCCGTAGCGGCCCCTCTCACGGCCCCTCACGGCCCTTCTCACGGCCCTTCGCGGCCCCTTCAGGCCCCTCGCGGCCCCTTCGTGGCCCCTCGCGGCCCCTTCGCGGCCCCGTCGCTGCCCTTCGCGGCCCCGTCGCCGCCCTTCGCGGCCCCGTCGCCGCCCTTCGCGGCCCCGTCGCCGCCCTTCGAGGCCCCTCGCGGCCCCTTCTCGGCCCCGTCGCCGCCCTTCACGGCCCCGTCGCCGCCCTTCTTGGCCCCGTCGCCACCCTTCGCGGCCCCTCGCGGTCCCGTCTCGGCCCCGTCGCCGCCCTTCGTGGCCCCTTCACGGTCCTTCGTGGCCCCTTCGCCGCCCTTACCGGCCCCTTCTCGGCTCCTCCGCGACCAGCAGCAGCCGCCGACAGCAGCAGTCGTCGCCGCCGACAGCCGCAGCCGCCACCGTCGCTGCCGTGACCGCCGCCACCGCCGCTGCCGGGGCCGCAACTGCCGCCGCCGGTGACAGCAGGAGCCACCGCCGCGGTCGCGGCCCTGTCCCTGCCGACGCGCCTCGGCCCTGCCCCACCACTTGCGGGCCCCTACCCACCCGCCCTGGTAAGAGCACCGCCGAGCCGCGCCTACTGCTACTGCTACTAGCCTACTGCTGCTGCTGTCATGGCTACCCCTAGCGTTCTCACCTTTGATGCTGAGGGTCGGGCTGTCGACTTTGATGTCTGGGTCGATGATCTGCAGCTTTTCCTGCAGTGCGATAGGAAAGACGGTCTCTCACTGTTCGATCTCACGTCTGGCGCCTCTCCTGCCCCTACTGCCGATGCTGACAGCACTGTTCGCTCCCAGTGGGCCACACGCGATGCTGCTGCCCGTCTTGCTGTGCGCAGTCACTTGCCGTCCACTGAGCGCGCGCACTTTAGTCAGTACAAGAGTGCTAAGACCTTGTACGACGCTGTAGTTGCACGCTACTCTTCCCCTGCCACTGCTGCCCTTAGCCGCCTCATGCTGCCGTACCTGTTCCCTGACCTCGCCGCCTTTCCCACAGTTGCTGACCTCATTACGCACCTTCGCACTAGTGACACCCGCTACCGCGCTGCGCTTCTTGCTGAGTTCTGCGCCAAGAACCCCCCCCCCCCCCATGTACATCACCCTCTACTACATAGTCACCCGG